CTATTATTCTTAGGTTTGGTCTTTTCACAGTGTCCCATATTTCCTGGATATTTTGTGTTAGAGATTTGGACTTAATATTTTTTTGGTCGATGAATCTATTTCTCGTAGTGTATCTTCAACACCTGAGATTCTGTCTTCCATCTCTTGTATCCTGTTTGCTATGCTTGCATCTGTAGTTCCTGATCATTTACCCAGCTTTGCTGTTTCCAGCATTCCCTCAGTTTGTGTTTTCTTTATTGTCTCTATTTCAGGTCTTGAACTGTTTCCTTCATTTGCTTGATTGTTTTCTCTTGACTTTCTTTAAGAGATTTGTTGATTTCTTGTATTTTTTGTTTGTTTTTTCTTCCATTACCTTAAGGGATTTTCTCATATTCTTATATCATGAAGTTGTTTTTAAGGTCATTCTCTTCTGCTTCATCTGTGTTGGGATGTTGGGGTCTTGCTGGTGTAGAGTCCCTAGACTCTGGTGGTGTCATATTGTTCTTTCTGTTGTTGAATGTGTTTTTACATTGTCTTCTTCCTATCCCTTCTTCCGGTGGGTGCAGGTGGAGTTTCTTCCTCTCCTGGTGGGTATGAGTCCAAGGTTCCCTTCTGGTGGGTGCAAGCTGGTCCAATACTCAGATGACTCTCTCTTACTGTGGTGGAGACGGGACTAGTACCAGGATGTTGGCAGATCCTGGATGGACTGTTCCACCGGGCCGGGTTCCCCTGGTGTTCAGGCCCCTAGCCTCAGGAAGCTCTGAGCTGGGCACCAGAAAGCAGGCAGGAAGCAGGCCTGTGCTTACCTCCTTCTGTGGGTGGAGGCGGCACCAGGACACTGGCAGTCACTGCTTGGGCTGGACTGCTGGGATGGGTTCCCCAGTGCACAGTCTGCAGGCCTCAGGAGTCTCCCAGCAGGGACCCCTGCTTTTAAATTTTTTTTAGAGCCAAGAGATTAAATAGGGTCACAGTTCAGTTTTCAGTGCAACCAAAGTGACAGAAATTTCAAACACAAATAGAAAATGCCATATAGTTTCAAAGAAGGTGAACAAAACCCCTCAGTTCTTTTAATTAAAAAGCGGAAGCAGTCAAAGACAGCACAAGGCATAGAAAATTACCTTGACAGATACAGAATCTTCATTTCCTAGGAGGATTCCTCCAAAATTGGAAATCCTTTGCACTCTACCACCAAGAACAGACTAGAGAACAGACCAGACCTGGAGAAAATGTGAGTTTCACAGCCATGGATCAACTCAGGTTTCTGCCACTGTGCTCTCATCAAAGCCCCCTTCCCCTTCCCTCCCATCCCCTTTAGTCACTGGCTCTGTCCTCTTCCGCAGTAACACTTCTGTCTTCATACTTAGTACCTTTTCTTAGCTGCTGGGCTCGCAGTTGTGGAATGCACCCTTTCACAATTTTTAGACACACTCTTCCTTAACAGAGTTTTTCAGGGTAGCACAAGACATATTAAACCCAGATAATTGCTTATTTCTCTGACCTAAGGTAGATACACTTAGTTTAGCAATTGGTTTTTATTTTATTGTGTAGACTCATGTCAAGTTAGTAGACAACTCTCAAAAATGTTATGAGACTTAACATAGCTAACCATCTTATTTTTCTTACTCAGGAATCTTTCTTTTTTTAATGTAGAGGTAGCATAAGCTAATTCTTAACTATAACACTCTATTTTGAGTAGGAAGTCAGGTAGAATTCATGTTAAATGCTGCATATATTTCTTGCTGACAACTCTGGAGCCTTATCATTTTAAAAAGTAAATGAATAGAATTTTCATTTACTCAAATCATGTCCTGAGAAGTATTTAGGTTAATTTTTAATTTTCTAGATGTTTTAGGAATTTTTTTATATACATCTATTTAACAACACAAATACACACGAATAGACCTAAATAAATACTTTAGCTGTGTGCCAGGTAGAATAGCAATAAAAGACTTCCTAGTTGTCTTATTAGGGTTATTAATTGCTAGGGTGAGATACCATACTAAAGCAGCTTGGGGAGGAAAGGACTTATTTGACTTATGCACTGCTCTTCATTGAAGTAAGCCTGGGTAGGAACTCAGGGAGGACAGGATCCTGGAGGCAGGAGCTGATGCAGAGGCCATGGAGGATGCTGCTTACTGCCTTGCTCCTCATGGCTTGCCCAGCCTGTGTTCTTATAGAACCCAGGATCACCAGCCCAGGGGTGGCCCCACCCTCAATGGTCTGGGCCCTCCCACATCAATCACTAATTAAGAAAATGCCCCACAGGCTTTTCTACAGCCAAATCTCAGGGAGGCATTTTCTCATTTGAGGTTCCCATCTCTAACTTCTGTACTAACCTGTGTCAAATTGACATAAAAGTAGCAGCACACCAGGAAGCTGATGGGCATTGTGTGTCCCTGGCAAACATCAAAGTCCCCACTCAGCCACAGCTTTCTACTGTGACTTTATTTTCATGCTGCAACAATCTTTTAGAGATGCTATTCTGAGTCCTTTATGATGGGGAAGTCCTGTGTGTATGTCAATAAAGCACTGTTGGCCAATAGGGAAGCAAGATAGGTGGGACTAGGAGTCCAGGAGGACTCTGGGAAGGAGAAACACAGGGAGTCACCATGCAGCCTGCCAGAGAAGTAAGATGTCTAGAACTTGTCTCCGGTAAAAGACATACTTAGATTAACAATTATGGGGTAAATACTTAAGTCAGAGCTAGTCAGTAAGAAACAAGCAAGGCCAACAGCGTCATAATTAATACAGTGTGTTGTGTGTTATTTGGGGACTACAACTTGGCAGAGCCAAGGCGACTGGTGGGGAAAAACCAAAACGGCTGACAAGGAAAAAGCTTCTCTCAACACCTTTAGATTTTAGAAATCAAAGACTGCATGCCACTGTCTCCGAGAGGCTCAGGAGCCTTTCTTTTCCAGGGCTGCCTTAAGGCTGACATCTCCCTTCAGTGGAAGGCTTCCCAAAGTTCACCCATTTCTCCAGAAAGGCACCTATTACTGACCCATAGCTGGCATGGGACCAAGTGGAACCCACTCTGACTTTAGAGTTTTCAAAAGAACATTTAGGTTATTTTTTTTTCTTTTTGAGACAGGCTGGCCTCAAACTTACTATGTTTATTATGGTAGTCAAGGCTGGCCTTGAACTCCTGATCTCTAGCCTCTGCCTCTCAGGGCTGGGGTCTCAAGCACACTTCTCAGGGGTGCACTGACTACCCTTGGCTTCTCTAAGGGGTCTTAACTATGAGCAGTCTCATTTTCCAGTTAACTTCCCTGAAGCACAGGGAATCATGCGCTTTCTCCCTTCCCTGTTTAGATATGAACATTCCAACGTTCTGATAAGAACAGGTTTCAGGCAAGGGTCCACACGGATCAGAAAGCCGATAGATACTCTCCATGGACGGCTGCTGCACTTTCACAGATGCCTCTGTTCTGTGCTTCCCTTCAGCCTTCGGCTGTCCCACCCCAGATATTTGAAAACACAGAGGAGACAAACTCAAAGACCTCAGGAGTCCCAGGACAGTGACTGCTGTCACCATCTGAACTCCATGAGTTAGTTCATCAGAGTCATGTAATTGAGGAAGGACAGACAGTGGAGACAGACAGACCTGGTCTCCACCCCTCATTGCCCTTCTTAGTTGTGTGACTTTGAGCCGCTGTCATTTGTATATACTTTGATTTTCCCTTATGCAAAGCCAGAATCACAATTTGTGGGCATTTGTGTGGTGTTTGTTAAGCTGTTGGTGTTCAGCAAATGTTGGTTCTGGACTGTTTCCCAGGTTTAGATCTTTTCTGCCTTTTATAGTTTTTTTTTTTTTTTTTTTTTTTGGATTAAGACAGTAGAATCTGCTTTTCTTCTGAACCACTGTTGTGTTTCCTTCATGAAATAGTCCCTTTTTAAATTTTTTTTTCATTTTACATACCAACCCCATTCTCCATCCCTCCCCTTCTCCTGCCTCCCCATCCCCATCCACTCCTCAGGGGAGGTAAGGCCTCTCTTGGGGAGTCAACAAAGTCTGAGCCAGTCTCTTTTATCTTTGAGGGTTCCCTGAATTTTGACCACCCTTAAAAGGCATAAGAAATCCGGAGATGAGTCCTTCAGGTTTTTCTTGTGGATTTTATTGGTGCAGATTCCAAAATAATCCGGTCACTTTGTGCCTTGTTTTCTCTTTCTTTTCTGCATGTCGGGGCACTAGGCCCTTATCTGTTGGAATAGTGTCCTAGTCAGTGTTCTGCTGCTGTGAAGAGACACCATGGCCGCAGCAACTCTTATAAAGGAAACATTTAATTGGGCTTGTTTACAGTTTCACAAGTTTAGTCTCCTAATATCATGGCAGCACACAGGCAGACATTGTGCTGGAGAGGTAGCTGAGAGTCCAGCATTCAGATCCACAGGCGTTAGGAAGCCAGACTCTGGCCTCGGAATGGGCTTTCTGAAACCTCAGAGCCCGCCCCTAATAACACACTTCCTCCAACAAGGCCACACCCAATCCTTTCAAATAGTGCCGCCCCCTGGTGAGCAAGCACCCTATCTATGAGTCTATGGGGGTCATTTTCATTCAGACCTCCACACACGGCGTCTCCCCTCAGACATATCTGGTGAGTGACAAGGGTGCTTGCTGGTTAAAGAACCCAGGGAAGATAGAAGAGTAGAGAGAACAGTGGGGCTCCTACTTGGTATGTTTATTTTACCTGCGTTATATGGGTGGTGTGAATCTACTACCTGCCGTTTGTGTTTTGAGAGAAAAATGCTGATGAAATTTGATGGTGTCACTGTGCCTTAGAGATGACATTTGCACGAGGCAGACTGTGTCACACATGCAGCTTTATATGTGTGGTACTTGGGGGCTTCACTCTCTGGACACTTTAAATGCGCCTCATTTGTTTTTGAGACTTGCTTAATGTTATCTGGCTTTTTTTCTCGCCCCTAAAAATGTTTGTATCTGTTGAATGTTTGCCCCATTACTTGCCTTCAAAATGCTAGAAACCGCTAATAAATTCAATTTGCACTATTTTGTATTTCAGAGTTTTCTTTCTTTGATCCCAATGATGCATCGTGTCAGGAAATTCTCTTTGATCCCAAAACTTCAGTCTCAGAATTATTTGCTATTTTAAGACAATGGGTTCCTCAGGTCCAGCAAAACATTGACATTATAGGGAACGAGGTAAGCGAACCTGGCATGTTAAGCTCTGTGTTATTGCAACTGTTAATGATTAGAATATTTTCTCCTTCTAAGAGGAGAGATCCCTATGGGGAAAAGCCCATCACAGTCCGCAGTCTGTCTGCATTTCCGGGGAGGGAGCGGGAGGCATGCTGCGCTTTCTTCCCGTCTTTTCCTCCAGTACCTGCACTCATTCTGTGGCTCTGTCATTGCAGACTTCTGGTGGAGCAGGGAGAGCCATTTTGCACAACCCTTTCTTTGTACAAAGTGGTTCCGCAAATTTCATAACATTTTGCGGAGGTTTTAGATACCATCATATTCCTTCTACTTTGGAATGGTCTGGTAATGATCTAGGCTTAAATACAATTTTAAAGTATTCAGCTTTTTGAGGGAGGTTTTGACACACGTGTTGTAATGCTGTAGGAAGAAGCCCCACACATTTTTTTCCAAGTATCATTGTAACCACTAGAAAAACTTTTTTGATCATTTTTGAAAGAATGTATTTGGAGTGACATCATGTAGAATGGCCTTCTGCCTACAGGCATGTTCAGATTTCATTGCTGCTGAGTGCAGTGTTGAATGCTATGTGACTGGGTGGGGCCGAGCCTGTCTGAAGGCCTGGGTACCTCGGTTGTCATGTTGTAATCATGGGCTTTCTCAGATTATATTTTAAACTTTGATCTCATTATTTTTTTAATTAAAACATAATTACAACATTTTTATCTTTCCCTTTCCTCCCTCTAACCCCGCCCATGTACCCTCACTGTTTCCTTTCAAATTCATGACCTTTTTCTTTATTACTTATATGTATATGTGTATATATATATATATGTTACTGAATATAATATAAATACAACCTACTCAGTCTATATAATGTTACTTGTCTGATTTCAGAACTGACCATTTGGCATTGGATAGCCAATAGGGAGCTCTTCTCTGCGGAAGACGATTTCTCCTGATGGCAGCATTCCTTAGTTCTTTGTTGGACTGGGGCTTCATGAGATAGCCCCCTTCCGTGTTAGCATGTCTGTTGATGTTGTCCTTGTTCAGGCAGTTATATTGGTGAGGCTTCATGGGTGTAGTTTCCCTGATGTTTCTAGGAGACACAGTTCACAGCAAACTTCTGATTCTCTGGCTTTTACAGTCTTTCTGTCCTCTCTTATGCTGGGATCTCTGAGCTTGTATGGGAGTTGTTCCACACACCCTTTCTCTGCATTTTGATCAGCTGTGGTTTTCTGTAGTAGTCTCTGTCTGTTGCAAAGAAACAATACTTGGATGAGGGGTGAGGCACACTTACCTGCGGGCACATGGAACTATTTAGAATGTAGTTGAGAATTCTTCTGGTTTAGTTAAGTGGTGATAGTAGGTTCTCTAAGATCTATGACTTCACTGTTCCTGGGTGGGTTGGCCAGGTTTCCAGTATCAGGCACAATCTTCCTCTTGCTGAACTACTAGTTGCTGCCAAGGTGTGCCTGCCACTATTGCACTCTTAGGATATCATGCCATGAGGGCATATCATACCTGGGTTGGAGTGTTGTTTGCTTCCTTTTCTTACAAACTTGCATGGCGCCTTCTAGTGCTATGGAAGCTAGTCCTCAGGGAGGAGGCAGCCAGCTCAGATCCAGCTCAGGTCCTCAGGGTCTTGTGTCTTAAAGCGTATGGTGTCTTCAGCAATAGAGACTTAACTTCCACTTTTAGGAGGCCACCAAGGGCAGCAGCAGTCGCATATGGTGTTTTGAGAGTCTCTTGGACACCACCATCAACTCAAAAGAGGAGTTTTCATGACTGGTGGTGGGGTTTCTGTTAGTCTTTAACTTTTTGGGTAGAGGAACATTGTCAGCCCACATGGGAAAATTTCATTTGAACTATAGACATATATTTTTTTCATGTATTATATGTAAATTTAGGTAAACAGATAAAATGATTCCTTATGACTCTTTCAGACGTCTGTACTGTTATTTCACCTTCTTCCTCAGATTCTTAAGAGAGGCTGCAATGTGAATGATAGAGATGGCCTGACAGACATGACTCTGTTACATTATACTTGCAAGTCTGGGGCTCATGGCATCGGTGAGTACGTGGCTTGCCCCTCCTCACTCTACATCTGTGCCTGTGTAATACCTTGCCAGCCAGTGACCTGGGTGGGGCATCCAGCTGCCCATCTGCTGAGTAGGTGAGGATTCAGTTTGTTCCACTCAAAGCTTTGTTCCTTTCCCCCGGGGATGTCTTGATACCCAATATTTTCTACAGTAGGCTCTGTGCCTAACTGCCCAGTATTTGAGATACCACCCAGAAATCTTCTAGAGGGCTTTCACCAAGTCTGGGTCAAGGTCAGTTTTCTAGCACAGCAGTGTTTCAAGACGCAGGGTAGAGGCTTGTCTCTGAGTTCTATTCCTACTTGTGAAACACATGTGTGGCCTATGTCCAAAATGGCTGTTCTTCGATGCTTTACCAGGGATTAACCTGCCTCTCTTACTAGTAATTCTTTACAGAACTTAAATCGTTAGTGCTGAAGGACCTTTACTTTTTATAATCCACAGTGTGTTATAATCCACAATGTGCTGATACTTCCATAAAATCAAAATGAATTTATAGTCTAAAGGTGAGATCAAGACAAAAGAGTAGCCCAAATATTTCTGCACTGGTCTGGCATTTTTCTTTTAATGCCTTCATTGTATTCCATAGCATGGAGGTCTTAGTTTATTTAAGTGATTTCTTGTCATGCACTTAAGCTGTCAGAATTTTACTCATAATCAGTAATGGCATGGTGAACATCTTCTTGTGTGTGTTTTCACTCCTGAACGGGAGCATTTCCTCAGGTTTAGTTCCTGAAAGGTAAGATTTTTGAAGTATAAATATAGGTTCAGTGTGCTGTTTGCTTTGGCTTTTAAAGAAAGACATTAGACAGGTATGAACTGGGAATTAAGATATGTCCTGAGGAAAAACGATTTACATTTGTTTTCTTCAGGTGATGTTGAGACAGCTGTAAGATTTGCAGCTCAACTTATTGATCTGGGAGCAGACGCGAGTTTGCGGAGTCGCTGGACAAACATGAATGCCTTGCATTATGCTGCATATTTCGATGTCCCAGAGCTTATAAGAGTGATTTTGAAGACATCAAAGCCAAAAGGCAAGTGCTGGCAGATGTTGTTGCCGATGGGTGTTATGTAATGGCGTCCAGATCACTGTTGAGGAGGGCTTTCTTCTGATGCCCTTTGGGTTTGTATGCCTTCCCACCTTGATTTACTTCAGTAGCTTAGAATTTCATTGTTGGATGTTATGTCCTTTAACAAAAGGCTTTGTTTTGTGGGTCTTCCTGTCTCTGCAGATTCCCAGTGTCGTGTGGATTTCATGTGTAACCCATGTGGTGTGCTTCATAATTCTTTGGTCTTGCTTGGGAAGCCAGGGTAGAGCAACAGAGTGTTTGGGCTGGCATTGAAATCATGGGAGGGGTGCCCCTTTTAGGTGTCATTCCTTTCAGACATTCTTTGATACTTTTTAGGAGTTCCCCCACATCTTGATGGTGACACCCTAAAGTTATTTTTCTCTCTGGTGCTCCTCATTTGAGAAGAATTAAGAGTGAGAGAGAAGGGTCTTCTAGCTTAGATAGAGCGCCCAGCGCCATCCCGAGACAAGAGGCGTTTTAGAGATGCAAGAGAAACCTCACAGGAGGTTAGTTTCTGACTTCTGTTCTGCACAATCAGCCAGTCTCTTTAAAATTCCACCTTTCCACCTTGTGACGCTGGGAAGAGAGTCTGTGCCCGTCCGTGGTCCTCGGCTCAGCAGTGTGGGAGTCTCTGTGAGCAGGGGTGTTGTCCCAGGTGTGCAGCCATGCCTTCTTGGTCCCCTGCTGATTACTGTGCAGTTGCGGAGCCAGAGACTCAAAGTAGGATTCTCCATTCCAGATGATTTCCTTCTCAGGTATAATGCAATGTGGTTTACTGTTATTAGAACACCCTTAGAATTGTAAGGTTCCTTTTCTTATTGTGGAGTCCAAATTCGTCTGTTGAGTAGTGTCATGAATAAGTATGTCAGCACTCCTATCTCCAGGTACTTGTTATTGATTTGAGGATTCTGCATTGTTTAGCCATCCCTTTCTGCAAAAGACTTACTAGTAAATAACTATTTTAGCTTTTCAGACTGTCTGGTGTCTGACACGGCCACTCATTTCTGTAGTTGGAGCATGGTGCAGGCTTAGAGAACATGTCTGTACATCAGAGTGCCTGCATTCCCATAAAAGTCTGCAAAACAGGGGGTAGAGTATGTTTGGCCCACAGGGTTCATTTGCTGATTCCTTACTTAAAGTTGACTTCCTTACTGTGTGTTACAAGGTGTGTTACATTGCAACGAAATGCCTGCCAGTTTCGTGAGCGGGCATGGAAAACTAGTTATTTCACAGGTATGGATTGCTACATTCACTGCCTCTAGTTTATTTAGGATAGCTGGGAAACGAGTGATACACCACTCCATTTTATAAGGAATTATGCTGAAGTAGGAGGGTATCCATTTTGTTATTTTAGGCAAATTATAATTATGAAGACTTGTCCCACTGTGAAATATTGCATTGCAGGGGGCTAAATCTATGAGGCTAAAACCCCCTCCCTGAGCCCCCTCCCCATCTTGGAAATTGTGATAGCTGAATTTAAAGTTTTAGTTAATATATTTGTGATGTTTAATTGTAGATGTGGACGCCACTTGCAGTGACTTCAATTTTGGGACAGCCCTGCATATTGCAGCATATAACTTGTGTGCAGGAGCTGTGAAAACCTTACTGGAGCATGGAGCAAACCCCGCATTCAGGGTAAGAGGCTGAAGCAAGAGAATGAAAACATCTCACAGTATCTCTAGTGAAGAAGTGAATTTGGATGTTGTTATTTATCCCTCCATCCCGTTTTCTGACTGGCCTACTGGACATCTCAGAATGGTTTTTAATTGGTTCCTATCTTTCCTGATATAAAGTAATGTGAACCCTCATTGTTTGGGATTAAAATGCCTCGGGAGAGTCTGTTTGTAAGCTCTTCCTTGAGAGAGCCAAGTGAGATGATTTTTTTAAATGATAGGTTTTAAATTATATAAATACCATGCAATGAACTGGGCTTATAGCTGGCTATTTTATCTTGTCACAGATAAACAACTCCAGGATACAGTCTCTCCTTCAGAGGGAGAGCTGCACAAGTTTCCTGATTGCAGCTTAGGTGTACTTGATAGTATAGAGATTGTTGTCACTATTTCTGAAGTCTGAGTTGTTGCATGACCAGGCCAGGTGGCTGAGGTCACAGAGCCAGTGTGGCAACTGTAGGATAGCAGAATGTAGTCATATGGCCCTTAATGCCAGGGACAGGTTCTGAGAAACATCGTGGGGGAGATTCTCTATCTCTGTACAAACTTGATAGAGGGAACTTACATAAACTAAGGTGGCTGTGAGGTGGGGTCACTATGTATGGGGCCCTTGGTTGGTTAAATGTCCGTAAGGCGTGTGTATGGGTGTAGCTGGGTCTCAGATTGGGTAGCTGGACACCCTGCTACTTCACTGAGCTCATGTGTGGCCAGGCACATTTCTCTGCCCTGGTCCTTGCCCATCTCATACGGGATGACTTCCTCTTCCTCCCCTCCCCTTTGCATCTCTGGGTGAGTGCATCTTGTCAGTGAGGAGTCCATCACCATCTTTATGCCATCAGCTCCTCTATAGCCACCTCTGTGCCCATGCTCTCTGTGCCTTGGTGTCTTTCTACAGCTCGGCTCCTGGTTAGCACAGCATAAAATCCATTGATGTTCTGTCTGTCCTGTGCGTGTGTGTACTCTTTGAGGGCAGAGTGTTTAGTTTCCTTCACTGTGGTATCGTTAGCACCTAGAATGGTTCCTGGTACAGTGGAGGAGTTCATTGAGTCGCTTTGAGTAAACAGATGACTGTGTCTGACTTAAAAGTCCTCTGTTAAGAATTGCAGATGGCTGTCTAGTGCTCTCAGCATGTAAGAACTGAAGTTTTCCTCTTGTCTCTGTGGCAGAATGACAAAGGACAGACCCCTGCGGATGTTGTTCCAGACCCTGTGGGCATGCCTCTGGAGATGGCCGATGCTGCAGCAACTGCTAAGGAAGTCAGGCAGATGCTCTTGGATGCGGCGCCTCTGTCCTGTACCATCTCTAAGGCCACACTCTCAAACTGTGATCATGGTACCAGCAAGGCCATGCTGACGTCTCTCGGCCTGAAGCTGGGGGACCGTGTTGTCATCGCAGGACAGAAGGTACAGTAAGTCGCTGTGGTCCCTGAAGCTCTTGTTAGGGTCCTCACCCCTAGTCTGTGTCTAGGGATTGTGTGTCACAACGGTCACAATTTTGAGTTGTGGGGAAAAGCTTCAACACGTGGACAGAAAAATACTTGATTGAAAATGTGCATTTTTTTGAGACAGGGGTTCTCTGTGTAACCCCCCCGGCTGTCCTAGAACTTGCTTTATAGACTGGGCTGGCCTCATTTCACAGTTATCTGTCTGCTTCTGCCTCCCAGGTGTTGGGATTAAAAGTGTGTACCACCGCCCAGCAAAAATGTGTAATTTAATGTAAGTTTACTGACACTTATGGAGGGCAGGTTAAGAATGTGAGCTAGTTGAACTTGATAGGGAGGTCTTTTTACTTACATGGGGGAAATGGCACAGAGGAGAGCTGTTGGATGAATTTAGAGGCAGGAGCTGAGAATGACCTTTGCTGTGTCTCCTCTGACCCTCCATGCCAGTGGCGCTTCTCCTGCCAGCTGAGGGAAGGAGACCTTTATTACTGTTCTGCTTCGAAATCTCACAAATGAGACATTGAGATGTCACAAAACCTACAAACAGGAGGTCGGTCAGTGTCTCTTTACATAAAGGCTTAGCAGACAGATGGAGCTGCAGTTTCTGTGTGGTCTTTGCTGTGATGGTTTCCCTCTTCTCTTTGATACCTCTTTTGGGAGCTTTTTTTTCCCTTCAGTGCTGGGACTTGAGCACAGGGCCCGGTGAAGCTTGGGAAGAGCTGCACCACTGAGCCACACTCACTCATTAGCGGTGTTTATTCTTAGTTCTGAGGTAATAGGGTGCTCTAAGTGTGGAGCGGAACAGGAAGGTGTGCCCAGATGTTAACCTTTCGGCTGCTCACACCTCAGTATCTGGATGAATGACGAGGCTGCTCAGAGAATGGTGAAAGCTGAAGCTTGATCTAGTGGGGGAAACTGGATTGAAACAGCCACAGATGCGAGGAATGACATCCACCCATTTACAAAGCAATAGGACGTTGGCCAGCTTTTCACAGGCTGCAATTAAAACGCCAGGAAATTGAATATATAAGTATATATTGAATATATAGGTTTTAAAAAATATGGCTGAACATCAAGTCTTTGTAGCATTCCTCTAACTGTGACTTAGAAGGGCTTGAAGAGATTACTGTCTGTTGCAAAGAGAAGTTTTCCTTGATGAGGGGTGAGGACTACACTTAACTGTCGGTATGAGGATAATTGTTTAGTTTGGTATGGTTACGCTGATTTACATACAAGCAACATTGAACAGACAGCAGGTTATATATATATGTATGTATATATATATATATATATAGGAATGTATATGTGTAGACATGCACATATGTATAACAACAATTAACGAAAGAAGAGGCCATGAGCTTGAAGGAGATGGAGGAGGAAGTGTATGGGAGGTTTGGAAAGGAAATGGGAAATGATGAGATTTCATTAAAGTTAATTTACTTTTGAATTGGATAGTTTTACATCCAGTAGAAGTGTCTGTTATGTAGCTGAGGACGATTTTGAACTCCAGATCTTCCATCTTCCTGAAAATGGAGATTGTAGTATATAACACTAGATCCAGCTAGTTTTATATTTGCTCTGTGTGTGTGAGAGAGAGGGGGGAGAGAGAGAGAAAGAAGAGAGAGAGAGAAGGAAGGAGGGAGGAAGGGGAAAGGGAGAAAGGAGAGAGATAATGCATGTGTGTGTGCGTGGGTGTGGGTGCGTGTGCGTGTGTGTGTGTGTGTGTGTGTGTGTGTGTGTGTGTGTGTGTGCATAAATATGGAAGCCTGGAGGATGACTTAGGTGTCTTCCTCAGTTGATCTCTACTTTATTTATCGAGACCCAGTCTCTCACTGAACTTGGAGCTTGCTAGTTCTGCTATGCTGACTGGCCAGCGAGCCCCAGGGATCCCTGTTTGCACCTTCCCAGAGCTGAGATTATTGGCATGTGCCACAATGCTTGACTTTTCAGTGTGGGTGATGAGGATTGAACTTAGTCCTTATGATTATGATATCCCTAGCCCCCTTGAGTTAATTTTTGAGAGTACCAATTATAGCTTGGGTTTCTTCTATTTTTAACCATGTGGTTGCTTATTTGTTACAATACCATGCCCTGGGCTCTTCACGCATCCCTTGAACATGTATGTTGGGGGTTGTTTCTGTGTGTTGTTCTGATGATCCCCCTGTCTTCAGTGCTATCATCATCATCATCATCGCTTGCATTGGCAAACATCCATGGGGTTCAGCCTTCAAGTTCCTTGCCAAACTGTTTGATAATTTTAATTCCTTTCATTTTCCATGTGCATTTTAGAATTTGTTATTTCTATAAAAAATCCTTCTAGAATTTTGAATAGAGTGTTGATGAGTCTAGATCTGGCTGAGTAGATTTTATATCTTAAGCTCAGTATCTTCTTGTGCTCTATGGGCTTTAGATTATTTAACCAACTTCTGTGGTTTTAACCATTTAGGTATTGCATATGATTTGCTGGATTTAGACTTAATACTTTCCAAGTTTTTTTCTGTGCTATTGCTGAAATTTCCTTTTCTGGTTGTTCATTTCTAGTATGTAGAAATAGTTGATTTTTTGGATATTGGCCACGTGTCCTTAGCTTGTTTACTTAGTGGATTCTCTGTATACAATCATCTTGTCTTCTCATCCTTTTTCTCTCCCCCCCCCCCAGAGGTCTCATTGCATTGCTAGGTGTGGTTTTTGTGTGGATGTCATTTGTCAAGTTGACGAGGTCCTCAGTTGCCATGGTGTGTCTTTTCTTTAAGCTGTCATCAAGGAGGATGCTGCAGTTGGTGGTAGTGCCTTCTCTATCTTTGTTCCCTTCAGTGTGTAGACAAGCGGATTGTGTTGGGTAATTTTCTCAATGACCAGCTTTGCATCCCATTGGAGACCTCCCTTAGTCACCATGTAGTATTCTACTTATTGGTATGTTTGATTGGCTCTAAGTTTGTTGAGAATGTCTAAGTTTGTGTTCTAGAGAGATGATGGTCTGTAGTTGTGTCTTTGCTCATTTTTAGTGTCAAGGTAATGTTGGTTTCCCAAAATGCCTTGGGAACCAGCTTCTTCACTTAAATTCTAGAAGAGCTTGTGAAGAATTTCTATTTTGTTCATACAGTTTTGGTAGTATTTACCATTGAGGCCATCTGTTCCTGGGAGCTTTTTCCTTTTTTTAGTTTTAAATCACAAATTCATGGGTTAGCTTTTTTTTTTTGAGTGTTTGTATTTTTCAAGGAATTTCAGTGTTTTATACTGCTTTTAAAATGGGTGGGCAAAGCTGTTTGTAGTATTGGTTCATCTTTTTAAATATTGGTAGTAATACCCCTCTCTTGTTGGTGACGTTGGTTTTGTGTCTTTTTTCTTTCTTTTTTAAAAAATGGTCTTTGTTTAGTGGCTTAATAATTTTTATTCCTCAAAGAATAAATCCCTCAAAGAATATTGGCTTCATTGTTTTTTTTTCGTATTGTTTCTTTGTTCTCAGTTTATTTGAATATTTATTCCTCACTCTTTTTCTGGCTTTGAGTCTTAGTTTGCTGAGGTGGGATACTGATTTTAGACTGTTTCTGAGGTACACATTCCTCTCTAAGCCATGGTAATCTCAGCACTCCAGAGGCAGAGGCAGGCAGATCTCTGTGAGTTCAAGGCCACCCTTGAGTTCCAGGACAGCCAAGGCTACACAGAGAAGCCCTGTCTTTAAACAAAAAACAAGCAAGCAAAACCAACAAATAAAAAATCCAAATTCATTTTTTGTTTCACGTGTTTGGGCGTTTTGCTTGCATGGTGGTCTATGCACCACTTGTGTGCCGGGTCCCACGGAGGCCAGAAGAGTACATCAGAGTCCCTGGGACTGAAGTAACAGACAGTTGTGAGCTGTGAAACCAATTTTTAAAACTTCCGTAAAAGACATGTGGGTGCTGGGAGTTGAACTCGGTCCTCTGGAAGAGCAGTCAGTGCTGTTAACTGCTGAGCCTTCTCTCCAGCTCTCTCTTTTACATTTGTATGCTTCTGTTTTGGGTGGAGTGCTCTGTAGATACTGGTTTAGTTGAGTTCGTTTATAGGTGGCTTCCTATATTTCTGGCTTGCTCAACCTGAATCCCACTGTAACATGGACTTTCCTTTCCAGTTCTTTTGGGAAAGAGCATCACCTGGGAAGTATCCCATGTCTCCCTGGTAAACGCCTTTGCCATTAACAAACAAACAAACAAAAAGGTTTGGCAAAGTTCTTTATTCAGAAGTCTGTTTTGAAAGACATAAAAAGTAATATTGCTAAGAACAGGATGTTTAGAATTACTAATAAGGCTGAAAACATATTTTGATTCATATTTTCTCTAGGTTGGGACATTAAGATTTTGTGGAACTACTGAGTTTGCAAGTGGGCAGTGGGCTGGCATTGAGCTGGATGAGCCAGAAGGAAAAAACAATGGGAGTGTTGGGAGAGTCCAGTATTTCAAGTGCACCCCCAAACACGGTAAGATCGAACCCAGGGCCTGACTGACCGTATTCTCCCACTTTAGTTTTAAATTAAACCCTTTCCTGGTTACTCGTGTAAGGTGTAAGAGGGTGTGGATGGAGGATATTTTAAACGCAGGAGCTGTCATACCATGTTCCTGCTGATGAGGATGATTTAAAGGAGGGAAGTGGTGCTGCTGGAGACAGAGGGACGGTTGGAGGAGGAAGGTCCTGAGAAGTTGACAGGGTGGTGCCCGGGTTAGCCTGGCGTTAGTCCAGGCATGGCTCACCCTCCCTAAGGACAGACATGCTGGGAAGATGCTTCTATTTTCTCAGAAAATGAGAAGTGAGGTCATTTTCTGATGTAAGGAGAGGGGCTTGGGGGTGGATGGAGGTGGGGGAGAAGAGGATGGTGATGGACAGTGAGGAGAGAGGGACGGTGACCAGTCAGGGCAGTACAGGAGGCAGCCATGCGATGCCAGGGCCTAACTGTAGACTTGTGGACATAAACGTAGAGTAGTAAGCAGGCTAAGTCCTCTTCTCATCAAGGCTTGGCAGACTGTTTGGGAATAGCTACTGATTAAGCAGAGTATCTGGTTTACCCGGGTTGTTTCTTCTAGAATGTTCTACCAGAAGTCTACAAGAGAGCTGAGGACAGATGAAGCAGGCTGACTAGAGGAAAGGATGTTAGAATCCAAGGTGGCCAGGGAGGAAAAGGAGGCTGTGACTGGGAGGAGAACCCAGGAGGACGTGCTGGGGTCTGTGGTTCCTGACCCCAGGGACTTGAAGGACTGATCCAGGCTGTGGTGATTTAGGGAACCAGTTAGCAGGAGTCACAGGCACCTGGTAGTGATGGTAAATAGAGAATATGATGATTTCAGGAAGGGAATTTCTGTCTACCTGCCCTGGGATTCATTAGAACTGATCGTGTGTGTGTGTGTGTGTGTGTGTGTGTGTGTGTGTGTGTGTGTGTGTGTGTGTGTGTGTGTGTGTGTGTGTGTGTGTGTGTGTACACCAGCATGCATGTGGAGGCCAGAAGTGTTGTTTCACTGGGTCTTGGACTCAGCTACTCTGGCTGGCCAGCCGCTGAGCTCTAGGGATTCTCCTGGTCTATGCCCCGAAATGCTGGGATTACAGTCACATGCCAGCATGTTGTATGGGTACTGGGGACTAAACATCCCAATTGAGCTGACTTTTCGCCTTCTCTGGGGTGGGTAGTTTTGAGGTGAGAGATGTCTCATGAGTGAAATGACACTATGAGGTGGGTGGGCCCACTATCGAGCTTAGTACTCGCTGCTGTGAGTACAGTTAGCCAGGAAGGGGTCTCACCAGCCCGGTTCTGTGGATCATCTTGTGGTGGTATCAGACCACAGAGAGGGACTTTGCTGTCAGGAGGCAATGAGCCATGAAGAATTTGAGAAGCTGGAAAAGCAGTGAGACCAACTTTGACTCTGCTCCGGAGCTGGGACAGTCCTTTCTCTTCCTGACAAATGTTTGTTTAAATTTATTCCCATCCTCCCTCTTCCCTCCTCCTGGCACCCCCCCTTTTGGTTTCCGTCTCTTAACACTGAGGTCAGTCTGCCATTGTCACTGTGTTGTTGATGTTTCCCTTTTCTGTGGCATCGTCTGCATGCTCGCCCAGTTCAGTTGGAAGGGGACAGCACACTGATGAGAACTGTGGGGTTTGGAGTCTTGACTGCTGGGATGTGATCAGCACCTCTCCTCGGGGCTGTGTGACCCCTGACCTGTTCTTGTCCCATCTGGCTGCTATAAAACAGGACACTTAGTGCTCTTTCTTTGTCCAGTCAGATTCTTCCCGAGTTTACTCACTAGTTTTGCTGGAGCACAACTTTCTGAATGAAGACTCATAGCGTAAAACTCGAACTCTGCATTCTGACAGCGTGCTGATTTCTTCCCTATTTCATGTGGTCGTTTGGGCTAAGGAATGGGAGATTGTAGCGCGTGCCCCCTTAGTATTTTGAAGACAGCGTTATCTAATGTAGAAATTGGCAAACTTTTACTGTAGAGACCAGAGAGTGACTCCTTTGTGGGCCTCAGGGTCTCTGTTGTGGCGGCTCAACTCTGCTGTTACAGTGAGTGAGTAGCCGCAGGCTGTGTAAACAGATCGAAGAGGCTCTGTGCCGTGACAACTGCATAGCCCAGTGGTGGCCAGGTTGCCTCTCACTCACCCAGGCATCTCAGATTAGTGCTTAGGAGTTCCAAGGTCTTCTTTCCTCCTCTCAAAAGCTTCCATTTTCTCTCTAGAAAATAAATTTCTCTTAGAATTTATACCACTTTATTCATTGCTGGTCTTTAATGGGGTTGAACACATTAAACAAGCCGTGTTATCTGAGGATTCATTGTTCTTCATTTAGAAGAGAGTGCTGTGTGCTTCCTTTTGGTGAGCCGTAGAGCCAGCCGTGTGTCGGCCTCTGGGGAAAGCCGTTGAGTTTGCTGGTTACCAGGCAGCAAGGAGCCTGCCCTGGGCTTGCTGCAGACTCTGCCCAGCCACACCTTCAGGAGTGGTTGTCCTTTGCCCAAGCGACTTGAAAATAATGATAATAATGACACATGGACAAACAAGGCCTGTGCAGATGAGGGATTGTGTGCAGTCTAATTCTTTTAAGCCATTAGAATCAAATATTTGATTAGCCTTTGAAACAAATATATTTCTATATGGAAATTTCCTTTGGAGATTATCAAAGAAAAGCCATTTTCCCTCGAATGAGAAAGGACGGGATCTAGGCTGGGGTTGCATCCCAGCACCTCATGAAATGCATGAGGTGGTACACCCTGTAATCCCAGCTAGGGGCCATGGTGTGTTACACGAGACCTTGCCTCAAGTAAAAACAAAAGAAAGCAGATCCCCTATTGAACATTATGCATGATATTACTGACACTAATCAAACAAATGAGAAATAAATTTGTACTCTATTCTCATGTTTGAATTTTTAGTTTTTTGTTTGATTGCCTATATCCACATAAATTTACCACAGATGTAATACAATGTTATAATGTAATAGTAATATTTTCCTTTTTTTACATTTATGTATCTGTGTATATGTATCTGTGTGTGTGTGTTTGTGTGTGTCTATCTGTGTATATATATCTGTGTGTTTGTACTTCTGTGTGTGTGTGTGTGCTTCTGTGTGTGTGTGTGTGTGTGTGTGTGTGTGTGTGTGTGTGTGTGCCCGCCATGGTGTGTGGAGGTCATAGGTCAGCCTGTGGGCGTTGGTTCTCTTCAACTATGTGAGGCATTGAACTCAGGTTGTCAGGCTCTTATGAGCCTTCCTACTGGCCTGGTTTCTAATTTTCTTGACTGGGTTTCATGAATGATTCTGTCTTCATTGTTGTTGGTGGTGACGCATTACAGTAGGCACCATTACTGTGTGTGGCTTCAGTTCCCCATAGTCAACATACATCATCGTAAGATATCCTGGGGGTGGGCAGGGATGACCACATCCTTTTAAGTCATTGCCTATAGTACCTTGTTAGGGGTTCTATGCTGATTCCTCCTGTACTGGATTTCTAGATTACATTTTACCATGGGTCTGGATAGGAAAAACATAGTCTATGTAGAATACCTGGGGACGTATCTGGGCTGATAGAGGGAGATCAATTTCATGTGTATTCTTGCTAGACAATTACTTTTTTTCCTAGATTTTATTTTCTTCCAGAAGTGTCCCTGGAATATGGTAGTAAAGTAGACATCAGTACATTTTGATAAACTAGAAATACTGGGCCTCTTACAATTTATCCTTTTCTCCTACAAGCATAACCTCATAGCCTATGCATGTACCTCTAACTTTATTTCCTTATAATTAATTCCATAAGGAGAATTAGGTAGGAATTCCCAAGTTCCAAAAAAATGTAGAAACTCATGAATCCAGAATAGAGTATTTCCCTCTTTAAACCTTGGCAGATTTAATTGTGATTATCTTTGTCATCAATATCATTATAGTCAAACTTTATTCTGTGTGTGTGTGTGCGTGTGTGTGTGTGTGTGTGAGCGTGCGCGCGTGCGGCACAATTGGTAATAGAAGGAATTTAGAATAGAAAGTCAAGGACAACCTCAGGTCAATGACATGAAAGATAATTACAAATAAGTTTAAAAAAACAGGAAAATCAAGAGAAGGTCATGTAGAGTGCAAAGGAGAAAAAAATTTTAAAGGTTTTCAGGGAAGTCTGTAGCTGGCAGTTGTCAGCTATGAGCAGAGAGGCCACATCTGTAAGGGTGTGATTGTTCTTATCCTGCTTTCCCTGATCACGTTCTGTATGGTGGACGTGTGTTAGGTGGTAAACACTCAGAGTGTAATGTACACTTTACGACTATTTTCTTTTAAAGTGTGTTAGGGAGATAATCTTGGTATTTATAGTCTGTTCAGTGTCTGTGTACTTATTCAAACTGGATATTTTATTGTCTCCATAAACTCTTTCTCAGTGGGATTTCATACTCCTAGATGCTATAGGTAGGCAGTCCCCTGCCTCTGTTCCCTTTCCTTCCTCAACATACACTGTATTGTTTTTGATTGGCAGGCATCGAGGGCTAGTCCTTTGGGGAAGATTATTGTATACAGTTAAACAGATGTGTTGTGTCTGTACTGTGTGTAAGGCAGTGTGATTAGTTACAGGGGGAGAGTGCCGACAAGGGGAAGATGAGACGGGTGTGAAGAGCTGTGGTGTGGGAGGGGACAAGGCGTGGCACGACTTACACTGTGTAGTAGCTTACTCTCAGTCACTCAGAGAACATGGTAACTCTTATACATGACTTAGACGCGGCATGACTTACACTGTAGTAACTTACTCTCAGTCACTCAGAGAACACAGTGACTCTTATACATGACTTTTTCCTCTGGAGTATGTATCCCTTACATGGTTCCTACATTATTGTGTATTTAGTCTTGGCAACTAGATTGTACACTCTCTGAGGGCAAGTGCCATGTCTCATTACAAGATGTGTGGTAGGTACTAAATAGAGCCTATGTTAGCAACAGTTAACATTTGCCCTGTATTTGAAATGCTTCAGTTGCTCCACACTAACTACAATTGTGTCTTTGCTCTCAGGTATTTTTGCACCCCTTTCAAAGATAAGTAAAGTAAAAGATGGGAGGAAAAATACCACACACACTCCTTCCACAAGAGCGGCGCCTCACATCCGATCTCAGAAGGTTGATGTAGCTCACGTCACATCCAAAGTGAATTCTGGTAGGTCAAGCTGGGAAGATAGATCATGACCACCTAAACCATATTTCAAATTGTATTTGTGGGATTCATGGTATTTAGACGGTTTCACTGTTTTTTTAGTCCACCACAAAAGCTGAATCTCACAAAACCTAGACCTTTGTGGTTTTGGCCTCAGTTGTGAATAATAACTTAAGACCCAGCAATGGTAGCTTTGTCCTTTCCTGTCCTTTCCTGTCCTTTCCTGTCCTGTCCTGTCCTTCCCTTCCCTTTCCCCTTCCCCTTCCCCTTCCCTTCCCTTCCCTTCCCTTCCCTTCCCTTCCCTTTCCCTCCCTTCCCTTTCCCCTTCCCCTTCCCCTTCCCCTTCCCTTCCCTTCCCTTCCCTCCCCTTTCCTTTCCCTCCCCCTTTTTCTTTCCCTCCCTCTTTCTCTTTCCCTTTCCCTTTCCCCTCCCCTCCCCTCCCTCCCTGATTCTCCGTGTGCTTCCAGGGCCCCATGATTGGCTTCAGTACTGGATTTTATGCCTCCAATGAGTATTCACAAAACATGACCGAGTTCCTGCTCCTGCCTCTTCTGTGACTTCCCTCTGTGGTTGGCCGTGCTTTGCCCCTCTGTCCTGCTGCTCACAAGTGTTCACTGTCCTCTGTGCCTCTCCTCACCGGTGGGCTGCCCATGGAGGTCCTTGCTGTTCCTCACTCCAGACAGATCCTGCTCCTCCCTCAGCAATCCAACTCATTTAACCTCCTTGTTCTCCACCTTTGTGTGTGTATTCTTTTAATCTGTGTAGCCCAGTCGTCTTGTCTGCTGATTGCTTTATTTGTGTACATCTTTTGTGCTCAGTCAAATTCTAGATTTAAGTAGACTGTGAGTAGAGGTTGTGATTTGTATTCATAGAAGCACAAAGGAGATATGCAGTAAATATGTGTTAGCCCATTGGTAGCTGGAGCAGAAGGGCTTTCCCCCATCTAAAAGGACGTCATCCAGACGTTCGTTTGTCTGTCTCTGCTGTTCGTTTGCTCGCTCATGTGCCCATGGTTGACCTCATGATTACTGCGATGTTAAAAATCCCTGATATCCAACAGGGAGGAAAACCTCCTATCTTATTCTTAAAGATTGTCCCCCTTCTTTGGGGAAGTCACACTTCCTTACATATTTTATAATATGTTCTAAAGTCTCTTTAAAAACCAATCTACTGAAGTTTAAGTGGACACCACATTTTATCCTTTTGCCAGTTTAAAAAGCTGATATTGTTACAGCCATCTTTACTTCTGTGCTTGGAATATTTTTTCTGTTTAGTTGGGTAATTTAAGGTATATTAACATGATTGTCAAGTCTTTTTTTTTTCTGTAGATATTCTTGACACTTTATACCTGGGGCCATATAATGACACCTTCCCCTCAAAAAACCCAAACCAAAATACTTAGAGTGTGTCACATTCATGCTCTCAGAATGAAAATTAAGGTGTGCTCTCCTGAAATGAGCTTCAGCAGAAACAGAAAGAATAAAATGCTGTGCACTTGTGCACGAATACACACACACACACACACACACACACACGCACGTACACACACACACACACAGACACACACACACACAGATGTCAAGGAATGGGGTGATTGAAGTAACATCAGTAGCTGAGAGCAATGCGTGTGTCCTGGTTGGGATATTGTCCTGTAATTTTGTGAAATGCTGTTTTGGGGGAAGCTGGGCAGATACACAAAGAGATCTTTATATCATTTTTAAAACTTCATGTCATCTTGATGATAGTTCAAATGAAAGGGGAAAATTGAACTTTAGGACTGAAATATAAAATAATTGGAAACTGCACTCTGCAGCTGCTGTAGTATCTCATTTCCTCCGTGGGCCACTGGAGTAACTTCCCTGGCCTCTGCTTCTAGCCTTCCGTGCTCTTCCTTTCACCTGTGGCTGTTAAAGAAATGTCACATAGCTGGATGTTTGTCCAGGCCAGTCCAGAACAAACTCATTCTTGACAGGATACTCCCACCTGTCCTTTCTCTACAGGAGACTTGAAGCCACCCCACCTCCAGACCTTCCCCCCAATCTCCAGGCCTCTCCCCCTTCTCTCCAATCCTCTCCCCTCCCCCACCTCCAGTCCTCCATTCCCTTCCCTCCAGCCCACCCCCTTCTCCTTCTTTTGCAGAACTAGGAATTGAACTCAGGGCTTGGTAGTGACAGCCAATGCTGTCCAGTTGAGCTGCACCATCAGCCAGAGTTATGCCCTCTGAGGTTTACTGTTACCTGCTTGCTCAGTTTACCTCATCTGAGTCCCCAGAGGACTCCTTCTCAGCCAAGCTACCCCCATGCTGTGCCATTCTGCAAGCTTTTCTCTCTGATTTTCCAAACCCCCATTCTCACTTCTTCCTACTAGACCTCTGGTGTGGGGGAAGAAACTCACCCACTCAAGCCCCAACTCAGAGTGAGGTCTTGATGAGCCCCCGGTTCTCTTGCTGAGTTCCCACCTCCCCTCCTTCACTAGTCCTTCGGATGAGGTGAACTCACACAGTCACTAGCTCTGAGGTCTTAACCATACTAAATGGAAGGGTCCTCTTCAGTGACAGGACTATGTCTTGTTTTGATTTGCAGCAGGGTCCTATGTAGGGTTCTTCACTCAAAATACTCTTTGAGTTGACTGGGAATGCAAGTGGGGAAGACCCATTTGCTCTTTAAATAAATTGATACAGTTGATATGAAAGTCTTATTCAACAGCAATTACTATTCAAGTTTTGTTCCCCAGATGGGATTGCTGTAGGAACAGTATCATATAAGTTATTTCCAAGTCCTACTCATCTGTATCTCAGCAGTGACAGGGTTGCCACATCCTCAGGCATGACAGAGAACTCCTGAGCAAGCCTGTTGAGTATCAGACATTTCAGAGATCTTCAGCCGGGCTGTACTGCGAATCCATCCTGTTTCTCAGCTCTGCAGTGCAGGAGTCTCGAGGCTGCGTGCTCCTGCTCGTGCTCGGCAGGCGCTGTGTGCTGGGCTGTGTCCTGGGCTGTGTCCCACTCCTTCTCAGTACCACGAACATTGGTACTGGTTCTGTCTATCCAGTGTCTTCAGTGTGGATCCTAGCACTCAGCAGACAGAGGCTGGCAGATCTCTGCGAGTTCGAGGCCAACCTGGTCTACAGAGTGAGTTCCAGGACAGCCAGGGCTACACAGAGAATCCCTGTCTCAAAACAAACCACAAAAGAAGTAGAAAAGATTGAGATGTTGAGAAATATATGTACTTTAAAGAAAATGCATTTTCTTGTTTACTGTTAAGCAAAATTGTCTTTTGCGAAACCATTTTTGTGTTTATTTATCAGGGTTGATGCCATCAAAAAAAGAGAATGCTTCTGACTCCACACTCTCCTTGCCTCCCAGTGAAGAGCTGAAACCTGTAGCAGAAAGTGATGGTAATGTAACCCACCACTTCCCGTTCCAATGCTGCATCTCCTGGTGAGACTTTGAGTTAACACAGTGCAAAACAGCTTGCATGACTTGTGTTACAGCTGGGAAGGAAAAACCACCGTGGTAAAAACTACCCCTTTAAAAATACAGACTCCTGTAATCAGTTTCTTAGCAAGCATAGAGAATGCCGGTTTAGCAGGAGGTGGTCCACAGTGCAGGAGGCGTGGCCAGCCTTTCAGTGTGTGGAGAGAAGACCCCAGCAGTCTTGCTTACCTTCAAGTTGAATACAGATGTTTCAGGGTTAAAAATTATGTCGCCTTAAAACATGCTGGTAGTGTGTGTGTGTGTGTGTGTGTGCGCGCGCGCACGCGCGCGCGTGCGCACGCATGCATGTGTGTCTGCAGGGACTCTATTACAGCTTCCTTGAAGGAGAGTGGGAGTGATTGGGGGTTAGATTAATTGATAGGGTAGAGCCCCCTACATAAGATAGTTTATTATGAATGCTTAAACTTTTCTGCTTGTGTAAACAGCGATCTATTTTGTGGGTAAACAACCGTGCTTTCGGTGAAATCAGGCATTTAATTTGATACTAGATAATCCACAATTGAGGAACTAAATGAAGCGTTTCAGGAGAATTTGCTCAGAAAACATCTTATTAGTCCTTTTCTTTTCTTTGTTTGATTTTGCTTTTAAAATACCCTTTAAAGTCTGATCTTTCCTGTTCCCCTGTCAGTTACCCAGCCTGGGTCCATCAGCAGCTCCTCCTCCACATCCTCGCTGGACCACAAGCAGAGCCACCCGAAGAAGCTGGCTACAAGCAGCAATGGCAAGAAGACTCTCAGCAAAAGCCCCTCTCTCCCATCCAGAGCCAGTGCTGGTATCTATGGCCTTTTCAACCAGGCTTTCTTGGTGTTTTTTATCTTGGTTTGTTTGTAAGTGGATTTGCTGTTTTTAATGTGTAGAAGGAGCCCTTTACCCTTAACCTTTTACCCTTCCCCTCCTCCCATTATCCTTCCCCTCTTCCCCTCCCTGCTTCTGTCCACCCCCTTCTCCCAGGTAGATTGAGCTGAGCTCTTTGGGTGGCACTGTGTGGAGCCTTTACTACTTGACCCTTGGCTTCAGTCACTGAGTTTCTTGCTGTGCCCTAGCTGCCCCACCCACCCCTGCCTGCCCCAGCCCCCAGTCAGGATTCCTGGCTCTGCAGTTGGACTTGAGAAGCTGCATTTACTGTCATCTAATCCCGCTCTCTCACACGCCTGCCTGTCGTTTTCCTGTTTAGAAAAGCATCTTTGCTCTGCTTTTGCTGAGGCCATTTTAATACTGTTCAGGAGAGGCTCAGGGGTCCTCCCAGACGACAGTGATGTGGGGACCACAGCTCCCTCCCCCATCATTGCTCCTTAGGGTGTGTGCAGACAGGGAGTGAATGCACCCTGCCAGGCCTTCAGCTGCAGTCCACTTAGATGGTGTTAGACTCTGTTTCCCTGCCCCTTAGGAGAGTGAGCTGTGTGTGCCTGTGTGTGTGCCTGTGTGTGCGTGTGCCTGTGTGTGCGTGTGTGTGTGTGTGTGTGTGTGTGTGTGTGTGTGTGTGTGTGTGCAGGTTGTTCTTAATGATTCTCACAATGGCCACCACCTACAGTACCTATACAGAACCAGTATTTTATTGTGGAAAATGTTCACCATGGTGGTTTTTGTTTTTTGTTTTTTTTTTTCTGTTTAAAAATACATTTTGGGGAAGCTGGAGGTTTGGGTCATATTTCAGGTGATTGCCTGGGACAATGAGGTTGTGGCTTCAATCCCCACCCCATAAAAGCAAAACCCCAAATCACCTATGGTGGGGGAGTCCCTAAACCCTCAGCAGTGGCCCTGATACAGTAACCTAGAGACCAGGATCTGAAAAGTGGGGAGTGGAAGTTGGGCTTGGATTTGATTCTATGATGCAGTTGCCCTCCCTCCCCTACTCCCCACTCTGGCCGCTTTCTCTCCTGAGTCCTGGGGGCATCATGCTCTTACTTCCGTGTTTGGGATTTTTTTTTTGTTTGTTTGTTTTTGGTTTTTCGAGACAGGGTTTCTCTGTGGCTTTGGAGACTGTCCTGGAACTCGCTTGGTAGTCCAGGCTGGTCTCGAACTCTCAGAGATCCGCCTGCCTCTGCCTCCCTGCTGGGATTAAAGGCGTGCACCACCGGCTCCCCCCCGTGTTTGGGATTTGAACTTTTGACATTTACTTGATTTTAGAATTTGTGTGTGAGAGTAGAATTACCCCCTCTCCACCTCTCCGCTGGAACAAGCAGTTCCAGTGTGTGCCTGTATACTTACTGTGTTTCCTTCTTATGCATTTGAGGGCTATGTTGACCTAAATAATAGTACAGATGAAGGTAATGATCAGAATGAAAACAAAAATCACCTTTCACAGGGTAGGGGCAGAGAATGGGAGGTGTGTGTGGCTGTGGGGGTGGAGTGGAGGAGTCCATGTGTGAAGGCCCAGAGACATTTCCATACACTTTTCTGAGTGTGTTGTGCAGTTTTGCATTGGAGGGAAGGTGAACTGTAGAGTCAGACTAGGCTGGAGGGTAGTGAGTGGGCTCAGAAGGAAAGGCCAGGAGAGGGAGAGGTGGGGAGGGCTTCACTCTGGACCTTGGCTCCCTGGCTGCCGCTGTTACCTGCCGGAGCAGTGGGCAGGCCTGAGGTGTCCCGGCCCTGGGTCTGGGTGTCATTCTGGCTGTGGCACCTGTGAGCTGTGCACACCTGTCTTGGTTAGCTTTAAGGTCAAGCTTTCTTCCTCATTCACCTTTTATGTAGAGTTTGGTGGTTGATGTGGGCCTCGCCAGGGCCCAGTGGGTCCACAGCTCCGTCTTCCCAGGCTCATGCTGGCTCTCCCTTCCTACGGTTGAACCCCAGGCATTCACCTAGAGTTCTCTAGGTCTTCTCAGAGGGTCACTGTCCAATCTCCACTGGCTACCAATAGGACAGGGCCCAGGATTCTTTCTTCTAGATTCGCACTGCTTTGAGACAGTATTTCTCAGATACCAGATAGCAGGCGTTTTAGTGGTAGTTTTGAATTAAGTTGAAGGAAAGCAAGTTGGGGTAATCAGGATCAATCATAAGTTTGCTATTACATTTTGTTCAGGATCAGTGTTTTAAATGTGTACTGTTTGGGATTTAGGAATATTTGCACAATCTACTACTTAACTATCTCTAACCAGAAGCCCTGAAATCTTAAATCCTTCAAATCTGAAGCTTTGAGAGGTGGTTCTGGAATCTGAATGTGAATTTGGGAGCATTCAGACTTTGGAACCCTGTACATTTTGGACTGTTGTTTGGGCTGCTCAGCCTGCGGCAGTTTCACCGGGAACTGCGTTCCTGTGTGTCACTTACACGGGTCGGGGTAGATGTGTGTCACTTACATGGAGTCTGGGTAGATACGGCAGCCGTATGCTTCGTGAGACTAGGACTTGCTCCATGGGTCACATCTGTGCCACCACTTGGTTTCACATGTTCTTTCTCTGTTGTCTGTATTTACTTTCATGCTGTAGCATTGAAGGTGAGTCACCGTGACAGGAGGCGGAGCTTGCACAGCCCAGCTTCTGTACATCCGAGGTTGTGTTGAAGCAGAGAGTGTACCCTGCTGTTAGTGGAATTCTTTCTCTCTCAGGAACAAGGTTTATGCATCCCCACAGCAGTGGTTCTCTCAGGGAACCTTGCTGGCCTTGAGTGCCTTGACCTTCTCCTGAGTGACGAATATGTAATGAAATACCCAACTAGCCAGACTAGTTAGAATACTTGGAGTCATTTTTGTAACTACTGTGCGTTTTGAGTTTTTTCCTCCCTTTGTTTTCTTTTCTCTTTCCCTTCCTGCCCATATTTCCAACCTACCACTTCAACAGGTTTGAATTCTTCAGCACCATCTACAGCAAATAACACCCGCCGTGAAGGGGAACTCCGCCTTGGGGAAAGAGTGCTGGTGGTGGGCCAGAGAGTGGGGACCATTAAGTTCTTTGGGACAACAAACTTTGCTCCAGGTAATGCACCCAATAGTCTTGGCTCAACATGAGTTTTGTACAAAAGCTTTAAAACTAGAGCAGCAGATGGGATTTAGTCATGGGACGTTCTCACTTCCCGGGTCTTGTGGATGACAGCAGAGGCAAAGAGAGCATGGGAAGTAATTCGAGATTCAGCCATTTGTATGGACTGACAGAGATCCATACAGTTCTCTTGCCAGTTGTGTTTAACGTTTGTCTAATACTAAAATTAGTTCTGACTTCCCTAGTTTATTCCTGCTGACTGCAGAGTATGCTACATGACTGGAAAGCAGTTCAGGGTCAGTCCCCTCTCCACCCCCTCCAGGATAATCCTGGAGTTGAGCAGGTAGATGGACCATCTAGCATTTATCAGAATGGCTTGAAGAGGAAAGTAAATATAAAAGTTGTTGTATATCCTGGGTCCTAAAAACACGTGTCTGCGAGCTTAAATAATCAGCCTCATCCACCTAACACCGCATTTCCTAAGTACAGATTGGTGCCAGAGAGGTGGCTCTTGCAGAGGACCTGGGTTCAGTTCCCAGCATCCACATCAGGTGGCTCACAACCTCTGGCAACTGTAATTCCTGGGGATCTGACGCCCCCTGACCTCCGCCGGCACTCATACATGTGGTGCACAAGAACTCCCACAGTATCACATGCATATACATGAACAGAAATAGATACATATTTTTAAAAGGTAAAGATGATTTTCCTTTGTATTTCCTAAAATGACAATTCTAACTAGAAGCCAGTCACATGGAGCCATGCCTTTGTGTTTTCAGTAGCAATATGCCATATTAACACATGGTGGCATTGTAGCATTTCAGGAAAAGGTTACCTACAGTATCTATTGAAAAAGAAAAGTTTGTTGTGCAGCATTCTGCCAAGACCCATGAAGGAGATGAGATTGTACTCTGTTTGCAGACTAGCAAATTAGCCTGCCACGATGTCGTAGATGCTGGCCAAAACCGTTAGCAGTCCTAGGTCTACAGGACTGTAGTGCTCACAATATTAGCAGGAGACAGAATATTCATCTCTCTGCCCCATCTCCCCGGCTGGGCCTGAGAGGGCCAGGCAGCACCTGCACACCCAGAAACCCATGTTCTAGAAGATGAGTCTGAACCTTTAGAAGTATAGGCAGGGTTCTTTGAGCTGGGCTTTTTGTCATCATGTCTGCCCCTGCTCATGAAGGAGCCCCCACCGCTCACCAGGAACGTCCCCTGCTGTGTATGAGAAAAGCATGAGAACCATGGTGAATCTTCTCCCAACACATTCTTTGGGAGTAGTGCCAATTTAGTTAGAGTCAGTGCCTTTTTTGAGCTGTTTTAGAGTCCAAGCCTCCCTTATGTCTCACACTAGATAGTGTGTGCTTCATATAGCTCTCTCTTAGGCTATTTTCACAACCACCATGCCAGAGTATATCTATTTCTACTGTATGTCATGCATTTTCAACAGCTATCATAATTACATAGCAGAAATGTAGCCAATTAGAATGGGACTTTTAATTAAAGAAAACAATTACATGGAATGACATATCAAAGGCAGAAGGAAGTAAGACTGGAAAATCATAACTATTGTACTCAGAAATAATTCCAACCAAACTAACCTGGTTTAAGCAACTCAGAAAGCTTATGATCTATTTTCAAAGAATTAGTGTGGTTAAACAAGAGGCTTGTGGATACTGCTTATATGGCATAGTAGGGTCACTCAAATGTAAAAGACACTGTCTGTGCTTAAGTCTTTTCAGCCCCAATCTTAGTATAGAATGGGCCCAGGTATAACATTAAAAAACAAAACAAAAGCAACAGCAGCAAGAAACCAAAATGAGAACTTACTCTGAGTTGCCTTTTAAGGTTCCTGAACTTGAAACTGACTCTGAGCTAGTAATCTGAAAGAAGGAATACTTTATATGTCCTAATTTGTATGTAGTGAGTTGGTTGATATTCACTTGCTTATTCTTTATTTGTTACTGGTTGTAAATGACCAAACGGGTCACCCCTGTGCTGTCTTCTCGGATCACGAGTGTGTAAACTGTGAGGTGTGTGCTGACCTTGGGCACCCTCAGGAATCCTGGATGTAGGAATGTACTCATTTTTAGCTCATGCTGCTGGGAGTGAAGCCATGCTGCTTTGGCTTTAGTCTCTCCAGAGACTCGCCTTCCTCTGAGTGAGGCCCATAGATACTGTCTGTTAGACAGGTTCTCCTATTACCAAATCTAAGACTTTTCATTTAGCTAGAAGATGGAGAGACATCACTATGCTGCCCTGTGTTTTCCGTGTTATCTCCGCCCTTGTTTAATTATTTAATGACTGTTTGCGGTGTTCTCCTCTTGGGAGGGTGAGTGAGTGCGGTCCACGCTAGGATTTATGCGACTCAATAGCATTCTGTGCTGCTCTCACCGAAGCATGCTACGTTAGAGTCAAGGACGGCTTCTTTTGCATTATAGTCTTAAGATATATCTTGGTGGGGCTCCCCTTGTGTAATGGCTAATTCTCTGCAAATCTGAGTTTGTGCGTTTTATTTTTCTTAATGTACTGCTGTGCAATTATGCCACTACAACATTTCTCCCACTTTTCAAATTTTCAAGTTTTATTTTATAATTTTATCATTTGAAAGCTTAATGATCATGATGATCTTCCATCATCTCGGTCATTTGTGAAAACACTAAGCCATCTAACTGCCTAACGATTGTGAATGAAGTGTGATGCTTTTAAAATGCAATATTCATGTTCCAGGGTATTGGTATGGCATAGAGCTGGAGAAGCCCCACGGGAAGAATGACGGTTCGGTTGGAGGTGTGCAGTATTTTAGTTGTTCTCCGCGGTATGGAATATTTGCCCCACCATCCAGGGTACAGAGGTGAGAAGACACTGGGATATGTGTCAGTTTACACAGACTCTGCAATTCCTCGTGGTACCTAGGGACCCTGATGTCATCTAGAAGATAAGCACATGCATTCCTTCAATGGGTTAACCGGCTACCTTCTTGGGAGGGAAGGCTCATGGGAAGCTAAATTTGCCTTGCTGAGGATTTGCAATTTTAAAAACCTCCTTTCTCCCTCATTTGCAAACCCTATGAGTGTGTGTGTAGGCTATTAGAAGTGGCGTTTGCTGCTAAGAACAGTGCGAGGAGTAAGCTTAATCTGTCATGCAAACAAAAGTAAAAATGCTCTCTGATTGCTTCAGTCACATCCTAACTACATTAAATTTCCTGCCAGCAGGCACCCATTCATTCTCCTACAAACCTAATGGAACAAAAATGGCTTTTTCCTCTGATTCCCTTAGTTTTCAAAAATAGATAGGCAGTAGTTCTCTTGGGGAAGCGAAGTCTCAGGGGCTTATGTGTAACAAAACTTCCTCGGTGAGACAGTGTACTGGTTGCCATCTCTGGTTTTAAAAGCAGACTGATCCAAAACACAGGCCCTCCTGAAATTCCAGTGAAATGTGGCGCTGGGAGGCTGGCTCTGATTTTCAGAGGCTGGAAAAGTGATGTGATCTCAGGGCAGGATACAGCATACATGATGTAACTAGACTTGTGAGATGAGAACTGTATCAGTGTCTGGAGTCTCTCCCGGTTCCCTTTTAACTGGATGCTGATGGTTTCTGGGAAAACTCGGGTTTTTAAAAATCATATTTCTTTCTCAGTATCATTTTCTTACTGAATAACCACATATGCCTTTGATGTTAATTTTCTTCATTTCTGGTGTGCTTGATACATTATTCTTTTCAGCAATAAAGTCTTCAGCATACAGTGCTTTGTAGTTCTTAAGGTGTCTTCCTTTCAGTGTTGTTTCTCTTGCTACTAATAAATACCTGGCCAGGTGAGTTGGAAAATGACACTAAGTATTACCAACCTTTATCGAGCATTTAATGGTAGGCTCTCTACTGAGCACCCAAGTGGCATGTGTCATTGTCGTCTGCAGGCCCAGGGAGCCATGAATTGCTCTGGTTATTCCCATCTTACAGGTGGGAAAACAGTGTTCCAGAGAAAAAGTAGCAGAGCTGAAGTCACATGGCTGAGTAATGGAAGGGCTGAACTTAGCCCAGCTTTGTTATTTTCCTGTTGGCCCGAATGCCCATGATTTTAGTGGATGGCACTTACCAGTACGGGGACACCATCCCCAGTGCTATCTCAGTATCAGTGACTAAAAGCATCCCTTGGGGCCCAGAGAGCTAAGGCCAGCCGTGCTCTTCTCCATAACCCTGTAATGGGGGATCCTGTGGCTCCTCGGGGCCCGGGTCTGGCAGATGATTGACATGTACTTTGCACCTGTTTGATTTGTCTCTCACTTGTGAGGCCTGGACTGTGTCCCATGTTCGGTTACCTAGAGCACAGAGCTGGGTATATTTCAGGCCTAGTGGGCACCGTTGGCTCTGACTCCCAGTGCCGTGCTTTCTGCCTCACCACAGCCTTCCCATTCATGAGGCCACACTTTCCCTGTGGTTTGTGTTTTCACTGCTTTGTTTACAGAGCACACGTTGGATTCACGCTGTTTTACTTGTCTTCCCTTTGGTCTTTCCAAGGTAGTACATTTGAAAGCAACCCCCACTTCTTAAAAGAAACGTTTCTGTTGAAATGAACCGCTGTCTCCATCCAGCTGTCTTCCTGTCATCTTCTGATTGTCTCATTCATCATCATCAAATACTATTAAGTGTCTTTTAGCACTTTGTGCTGTGCTAGGCATTCCGTGAGCAAACAAAACAGACATGGTCTCCGGTTTTAAGACATTTCTAATGCAAGCCAGCTTGGAGCTTTTTAAAGGCCTCACTGGTCTTCAGGACGGGAAGATTTTAAACTTGGGGCTGCTGGAGACTGTCTGGGTGACTAGTCATGCTCTGACCTCTAGCGCTTTGGGATCTAGTGCCTCAGGATCAAAGCTGGCTTTTTTATTTCTCCCCTCTGCATTTTTAGAATGGGTGCTTGCCCCAGGATCCGCCCACACGATTCCTCTGTTTGAGTAGCTTTCCCAGTCTATGTGTCATTACACAGTTTTCATTTAGTGAATTGTCCTGGTTAATAATACCAGTGGATATTCTTTAAAGGCAGTCTAAAGAAACTTACTCACTAGGTCACATTTGACCCCTCCCCTGACTCTGATGGGTCCTTGTGAACATGTTATTCGTGTGTTTCTGTCGTTGCTGCTGGCACTTATTTCTAATGAACTGGTCACTTCCAGAAGTTTCCTCTCAGCTGTCCATCACTACTTCATTCCAGTCCCTGCTGCTTACCTGGGGTAGGGTCTGTGTCCATCAAGCCCTTCTCCATCGTGGTGTGCTGTGTGTCCTGAAAAATGATGCATGTGGACCGTGGGATGCAGCTGAACACACCGCGGGGCTGCAGGGTTTTTCTGATGGGAAAAAAGTGTGTCGGGGGAAGTGATTGACAGATGAAGGCCTTGCAGGCTTAGGTCAGTGAAGGGCTGAAAGAAAATGAGGCTTTCAGGACCTGGCTTTTTAAAGAGAGAGAGACCTCACTGGGGGGCAGCCCTTGCAGTGGGGGGCAGGGTCAAGCATAGAAGCCTGTGGATTATATTGCTGTCCAGGTTACCAGAAATTCTGACATCTCTTTTTTCAATATCAGAATTGGTGATTCTTTTATAATTTTATTCTTACATCTATTAAACTTTGCATAAAATAAACTTATCTCCATAGTCTTTAGTGTTACCTTTGGAGATAAATTTGAAAGGAAAGTCAGAAGTCACTGTGGGTTCAATTCCTGTACTGGGAAAACAGCAGCAGCAGCAGCAGCAGCAGCAGCGACGACAAAGTAGTAATGGGCAGCAGATACAGCACAATGGCAGAGCTGTCACATAAATGTCAAAAGTCAGGTCTCTGTCAGATGAGCTGAATTTCCCATGCTGCCCGTGCTGTGCAGTGATACCCTGTCTGTGTGGGGCCTGCCTCCCATGCTAGGGTAAAGCCCTTTCCTGGCTCACGTGGCTGCCCAGTCAATGCTGTTGAATGAATGGGATAGAAGACATCAGTGTTGATGTGAGAGCATCATTTGAGAGTCCACCCTAGCTGGAAGACCAGCTACATCTAACCAGGCATGCTCTGTTTGTTTTATTCCCAGACTATCAGACTCCCTGGATACACTTTCAGAAATATCTTCAAATAAGCAGAATCATTCTTATCCTGGTAAGATGATGGGTTTTAAATTCGGTTTAAGGAATTTCTTCACTTTCCCTCATTGAAATGTATTTTTACTGTTCAGTATCTGAATCAATATCTCTCCACCAAAGAGTATCTGGAATGCATCTGCATCGAGCATGTAAGCCTGGAGCGTATCCGTTTCCTGCCTCCCAGCTGTGTTGTGGAAACCCTGAGTCCCACAGCCCTCTCCCCTGCCTCCCTTTTGTGTATCCCACCCTAAGGTTGTGAGCCTTATAATTCCAATGATTTTCTCCATCTTTTCTACTGTATGCGGCAGTATCAGTAAACAGAGTTTTGTTTCCATTGCCCGTTACTTTGTTTTTGGCATGTCTGTGGGGTGTGTGACTGACGGTGTAGTTGCGGATCATTTTTGTTACATCCTGTTTTTATTTTTACTAATTATACACACGAGGAGAACTTGCCCTGGGGTTGGTAAGCATAGCCACCCTCCCTGTGCTCTCCCTAGGGGACGCCAGGTGTCTGCACTATGTACTGCTCTCAGCCACTGTTCCCCTAACTCCACAACTGGTGTCTTGTTGGGCCTGGAAACAGTTGCTGCTCTGCTAGATTTAAACAGTATTTCGTTGTGACTTTAATTTTCTTTTCCCAGATTTTAATTAGTTGATGTGGAAGCAGTTGGTCCTTTTCAGTTTTGAATTTGTGGGGTGTACACACACACACACACACACACACACACACACACACACACACACACACACACTCACACACACACACACACACACTTCCTTCTGTCTAAGCCTCTCATTCTTCTTTTGGACCATTTGCTTCTTATCTTGCTAATTTGAAGGTTTCTTTGTATATTTTGGGGATGAATCTTTTGTTGGTTTTGTATGTTACAAATATTTGACAGCTAATGACATACCTTCACTTTTCTGACATCTTTGGTGAGAAGATTTCTTTAATTTTTATGTAGTCAAAGAATAAAACAGTTTATGGTTTTCGATTTTTTATATTAAGATTTTTTTCCCATGAGACAGAAACCTTAGTGCTCTTTCCTGAACATTGTTATAAGTTTTGGTTTTGTGTTTCACGTTTTTCAGTTTACCCAGAATTGACTTTGTGTGGGGTAAGGATTTAATTTGATTTTCTTTTCCATTTGTGGATAGCTGTTTATGAAACATTTATTCATATAATGACGATCCTTGGCTATTTGTTGCAGTCAACTCCTCGACCATAGATTGTCACCATTCTAGTGAATATGTATTGAGGTGACATTCCTGGTGGTGTATGGTGCTGTGTGAGTTTTCTGGGCCACTCTGACTTGTAGGTGGATGTGTATCTCTGGCACTTTTCCATCTTTACAGTGTTCTTCTCCATTATGTCTGAGTCCCTTGTCTTGTGTGTATGTGTGTGTGTGTGTGTGTGTGTGTGTGTGTGTGTTTATGGATATTGGGGGCATACCAAGATCCCCCAAGTACATTTTCAGAGAGGCCAAACCATAAAAAAAGAAGCCAGGAGAAGTTACCAAGTGCCAAGAGAGAGAAGGAGAGACAGAGACAAAGAGAGAGTATGATTTTGAGTCAGCTCAACAGTACATTCTATAAAATTATAGTTGTTTTAAATTGGGAGTTATTTTAATCAAGAGATTTCTTCAGGCATGCCTGAATTTGAAATCTATTTTCTCTCTGTAACTTTACCTTTTGTGAAGTCATTTAATCTTTGAACACTTTTATATGGAAAGGGTACACTGAGGAGCTCTGAAGTTTATTCTTCAGTGTTTTGTTACTGGAATATTTTTAACAATAGTTTTTGAAAAACATCCTTTCCATATGATTATCAAGATTGTAATATTTAATCATATACTGAGTCCATTTTACCAGCATGTGACTTAGTGTTACTTAGTTTTCAGGAAATCTTAGAGGAGAAAGTTCCAAAAGTTATGTCTTGCTCATCACTTATTCCTGTGTGAGCAGAGCTTGGCAAAGAAAGCAAGGATAAGAAATTGTCTAGAAATCTAAGCTAGTTATGTTCTGAGTAGGCACTTGTTTAATTTTTGTTGTGTGATACTGTTCTTGTGGAGATGTGAACAAGCGTTTACTCACTCCATGTAGGAACCAACAACAGACCAAAGTAAGGATGTCACCAAAGTCCAACTTGGTGAACCAGTGAATTTTATTGAGGCTACTTACAGGAATGTGGGTGAGAGATTATAGACAGTTACATCACCAAAAGCCCACCCCAGCACAGGGGCAGACGCCTTATGAAATCTAGAAACCCGGAGTACAGTGAACTGCCCACAGGCAGCTCAGTGGGCTGGAGGGTCTCTTTCAGGCAGCTCAGTATCTTTTAGGCAGATTGACTTTCAAGCAGTAGGTCTGGTCTCTCATCTTTTGCCTGTGTAAACTCAGGAGGGAGAGGCCTGTGGGATCTGGTCAGTTTTAGGGACTTCCTAAGGCTTTTGAATTGTTTACTTCCTGATCTTAAGGCACTTCCCTGCAGGATGAGGGGTTTTTATCTTAGAAGAACTGCAGCACAGCAGTTTCCTCCAGAAAAAAAAAAACCCCAAAAACAAAAACCAAAACCTCTTGGTGTCATAGAACATCTGTAGTAGTGATTAAAAATAACTCTTTGTAGCGTTTATTGAAAACAAGAGTTTATTGAAAACCAGTGATGTGTTTTCCTCTTTTGACCTTTGCTCTCACATTTAGGTTTTAGGAGAAGTTTCAGCACAACCTCTGCTTCTTCCCAAAAAGAGATTAACAGGAGAAATGCTTTTGCCAAGTGAGTATTGAGAAGACTTAGGAAACTGCCTTTCAAGATGAGCATGCCAGGATTCTGTGAAGGAAGAAAAATGGAGTTTTGTATCTCGCACCCTGCTCGATAGAATGGTAGCACGTAAGAGAGAAAGTGTGATCCGTATGTTGAGTTCTCCCTCCCTCCTTTGAACGCTCAATTAAAAATGTCACAGTGGCTAAAAGCAGTGCGCTGCATGTGTTTTCTCTTCTAAGAGGTCAGTATGGCCACTGAGAGAAGCCGGGGTTACGTTGTGGTTCCACTGAGTAAGGTGGGCTGATTTTGAAGGCCTGTTTACTGAATTAATCAGATCTGACCTAATACGCTCACCCATGCATGAAAGAAATGGAAGGCCAGTCTGCTTAAGGCAGTTCTTAGAATTATTTTTTTAAAGTGTTCTCGATTCCCCTAGTAGTGTATATTGCTCAAATCCATCACTGATTTAGAGTTTGAAATTGGCCTTCCCAATCAAATAGCAGGGAGATTAAGGACAGTAACTTTATGCTCCGAGAACGGAGGGAGGAAAGCGCTGACCCCTGGCCGGGCAAGTGGGGGCAGGAAGTAGTAGTAACCAGCTCTTCCTGTGGAAATAGCAAGAATGAACTTCAGGGGTGTGTAAACAGAGTGACTGACACCAGTACCTGTTTACAGTAAGACCTAAAGAATAAAGTATTTGTATTAATCCTTTGGCAATGTCACATGCACACAATTGTTTGATCATATTCCGCCCTTACACCTTCCATAGTCATCCCATACTTCCCCCTCCCAATTCATGTCTCTTTTTTAAGTCCACTGAATTCAGTTTATACTCCCATAAACTCAGAAGCCTGGAGGCATTCTCTGGAATGTGATGGACCTACCAGCAGCCACACTCTTAAAGAAAACTCACCCTCCTTCCCCCAAGAAGCCATTGACTGCCAGAAGTTCCCCAGCTGGGGTGGAGGTGGTGGCTGGTGATCCCCTTCACCCTTGGTGCTAGAAATGTTTGACTTGTTCTTGTGCAGGTCTCATGCAGGCAGCCACAGCTGCTGTGAGTCACGAGTGGATCAGTCCTGTCGTGTGCAGTAGACACCACTTCACTCTAGTCCTCCCTGACCTCTGTTCTCACATTTTTTCCTGGCCCCTTTTCCACAGTGATGCCTGGACCTTGGAGTAAGGGGGTGTGGCATAGATGGTGCATCTGTGGCTGAGCATCCTGTAGACTCTTGTTCTCTGGACCTTGACCAGATGTATCTGTGCCAAATGCATCCACCACATGAAGAAACTTCTTTGATGTAGTCTGAGAGCCACACTAGTCTGTGGATATAGGAATGTGGACTTCGAGGGTAATTTGATACTATGCCCATTTAGCAAAATAATAGTAGTTGGTCCACCCCTGAGGCCGGTGGGTTTCCCAAACACGGGTTCTTGGCCAGATTTACAGTACCAGGGTGTGTTTTCTCCCACGGAATGGTGCCTTAATCCAATCAGAAAACAGTTGGTTACCCCCATAGCATTCATGCCACTGTGGCTCCCTTGGGGGTATTTTGCCACACTGGTCCTTAGCTGTGACCCGCAGGGTGCCCTGACAGCTAAGACTGCTGGTGACTCTTCTTGCCAGCAGCCTACGTAGCACCTTCTACATAGGGAGAAAGTTTCCACTCAGAAACTTCACTTCGCCATGTCTTGTGACTGAATTGTGAGGTGCGTTCAGCAGTAGGGTCTTACCATCAGTTTCTGGTGGGCAACTAAGAGCAGTGGCAATAGCTGGTATTGTTCTGGGGGTTTCTAGGTCACCCCTGGCCAGCAGCTTGAGGGGAGGTATCCCATACCTGACACTGAGTCTTTTATTTGTCAGCCTATGCTGCTTGTAGGAGCATAATCCCATGTATAGGACAACTTCAAATAAACTCCCTTCATTTTTAGGATTTATTGTTGTTGTTATGTGTGTATGCATACATGTATGTGCATGCCCATGTGCACACACACCAGTGGGGGCCAGGAGACGTCAGATCCCTGGGAGCTGGAGTTGCAGGCATTTGTGAGCTGCCAGGGTGTGAGGATCCAAACTCTAGTCCTCATGATAGAACAGTGAGCACCAAGCATTCTCTCCAGCCTCACTTACATTATAAAATGGTGGTTTCTTTATGACTTTCCCAAGCATCCTTACAATCAATTATCCTTTGCCTAACCTCGTCCTGTGATCTACACCCCCCCACCCCTCCCTACTTAAACATCCATTCCCATTATTCCCCTTTGCCCCTCCTACCACCTGTGTTCTAGTAACTCCCCTCCTAACATTCTCTCCCACCCCCACCAGTGGCCCCTTTATAGTTTCCTGGCTTCATAGGTACTCCAAGTTAAACAAATTGGAAGACCCAATGCTAGGATCTACATAGACGTGACGGCAGGTGATACTTGTCTTTATGGATCTGGGTTACCTCGGTGTAGTTTTTCAGTTTCATCAATTTTCCTTCAAATTTCATAATTTCCGTTTTCTTTACAGATTAATAAAATTCTGTTGTGTAGGTACCACATTCTTATCTATTCATTAGTTGATTAAAATCTTGACTGTTCATATCCTCCCCATTGTGACTATAGCAACAGTAAACATGGATGAGCATGTGTCTTTGTGGTAGGAAGTAAGAGTCCTTTGCATACATACGAAGGAGTTATAGCTGGGTCAGATGACAGATCTCATTCTGGTATTTTGAGAGCTGCCACACTGATTTTCATAGTGGCTTTATCAGTTTTTCCTCTCACCAGCAGAGCATAGCGTTCCTTTCTCCCCAGAGCTTATGCATTAAGAAAGATGAAATTGGGGCTGGACAGGTGCTCAGTGGTTCGAGCACTGGTGGTTCTCTATAGAACTGGGGTTCAATTCCCAGCACCTATATAGCCCCTTAAAACTGCCTGCAACTCCAGTCACAGGGGATCTGATTCCTTCTTCTGGCCTCTGCAGGCACTATACACATGTGATGCACAGACAGACATTTAGGCAAGATATCCATATGTGCAAAATAAATATTAAAAATACAAATATTAAAAGGAGTGATTAAACTCAAAGTTGTTTTAAGCATTTGTTTTTACTTTATGAGTGTTTTGCCTGTGTGCATGTCTGCATAGTTTACACAGTTGGTACCAGTAGAGGTAGAAAAGGGTATTAGGTCTCCTGGAACTGGAGTTACAGACTGTTGTGAGCCACCAGGTGGGTGCTAGAATTGAACTTGGGTCCTCCAGAAGAGCTGTCAGTGCTCTTAACTGCTGACACATCTCTCCAGCTTAGTTTGTATTTCCTCAATGGCAAAGAATGGATGGTGTATCCTTTAAAAATATTTCTTAGCAATTTGTATTTCTTCTGAGAAATTATTGTTTATTTCTGTTGCCCACTTTTTAGTTTTTCGAGACAGGGTTTCTCTGTGTAGCTTTGGAGCCTGTTCTGGAACTTGCTATATAGACTAGGCTGGCCTTGAACTCACAGAGGTCCACCTGCCTCTACCTCCCAAGTGCTGGGATCAAAGACGGGCACCACCACCGCCTGGCCCTATTGCCCACTTTTTAATAGGGCTGTTTGCTTTCTTGGTGTTCTGAGTTCTTTGTATATTCTAGACACTGATCAATCTTCTGTCAGATGTATAATTCATTGGCAAAGATATTTTATGGGATATATCCCATATATATTATGTCATCACCTGTCTACCTTCCTATATACCTAAGATGCCTACTACCTGTCTACCTGTCCATCCATCATCTAAGTCACTCATCTGTCTGTCTGTCTATCATCTACCCACCCTACCCACTTATATATCTCTACCCATCCATGCATCCACCCACCCTACCTGCCATCCATCCATCCATCCATCCATCCATCCATCCATCCATCCACCCACTTCACCCATTCATCTGACAAATTATCCATGCATCCATGCATTTATCCACCCACCCTCCTATCTGTTATCCGTCCGTCTGTCCATCTGTCCGTCCGTCCATCCATCCATCTAAACATCCATCCATCCATCTTCTATCTTTGCCTTTCTGTGGGCTGTGTCTTCATTGGATTAACTGTTTACTTTGTGATACAGAAACTTTGATTTTGTGAAGTCCCACATGTCGATTGTTGGTTCTGTTTCCTAGGCAATTGGGGTCCCATTCAGAAACTCCTCACCTCAGCCTATATTTTCTGTACTCTCTTTGTCTAGTAGTCTTAGTGTTTGGGGTTTAACATTAAGATCTTTGATCCATTTGGAATTGATCTGTTTGCAGGGAATGAAGAAGGATCAAGTTTCAATCTTTATGTGAACATCCAGTGTTCCCAGCACTGCTTGTTGAAGATACTGTCCTTTCACCAATGTGTATTTTGGCATCTTTGTAAACAATCAGTTGGCTGTAGCCATGGGGTCTTGGTTATATCTTGGTTCCTGCTTCTACTGCCCCTGTTCAGTGTCTGGCTTTGTGTCAGTGCTCTCTAGGGTAATTTGAAGTCAGGGATGGTGATACCACCAGCAGAGTTTTTATTGTAATGCTTGTTTTGGATATCAGATATCTGAGGTCTTTTGTGTTTCCATATGAACTTTAAGATTATTTTTTTTCAATTTCTGTGAAGAGTTGATTGGAATCTCGATGTGGATTACATTGAATCTGTAGATTACTTTTGGTAAGACACCTGTTTTCACACTATTAATGCTACTATCCTATGTGCATGAGAGGTCTCTCCACCTTCAATCTATTTCTCTAGTGTTTTAAAGTTTTCATTGTATGTGTCTGTGACTTTATCAGTTAGGTTTATTTCAGGTTTGTTTGTTGACTGTTTTGAGTATTATGGTTTCGTTAGTATATAGGAAGGATATTGGTCTTGGCATGTTAATTTTGTAACCACTGCTTTGCTTCACATGTTGGTCTAGGGATTTCCTGATGGAGTTTCTGGGGGTCTTTCATGCAGAGTTGTGTTATCTGCAGAAAGGGATACTTGATAATTTCAGTTAAAAATCCAATAACCATTAGTGGTTAAATAAAAAAAAACAAAAGCAAAAACAAAAACCCAACAATAACCAAAAAAGGAGAGAGAGAGAGAGAGTGAGAGACAGAGACACAGAGAGAGAGAGAGACAGACAGACAGACAGACAGACAGACAGACAGGCAGGCAGGCAGGCAGGCAGGCAGGCAGGCAGGCAGGCAGGCAGGCAGGCAGGCAGGCTGGCTGGCTGGCTGGCTGGCTGGCTGACTGACTGACTGACTAGGCGTGGAACGAACATACCTTAGATAATAAAGACTACATATGGCAAACCAATAGCCACTGTCGTGTTAAGTGGAGAAAACTAATATGAGAAGCCCACTTGCCCCACTCTTGCTCCATGTAGGGCTTCAAGCCCTCACTAGAACCTAGCTAGAAATACTCTTTCGTTATATAAAACACGTAGCCCCAGTGTTCGGGTTCCTGTCCCTGGGAATGTAAGGCTTGAGCACTGTGAGCGGGAAGTCCGGGTGGCTCTACAGAGCTTGCTAGTGTGTTGGGATTTGCCTAGAGGGATCTATGTTGAAAAGTGAGTTGACGATGATTGATCTGTGTGGTGCTACATATTTTTATTTGTATGGAAATAGACAATGCCTTCAGAGTGAATGTGGAAGACAGAGAGGGTGAAATCCCTGTGTGAGGCTAAGTGGGATGTGTATACATGAGGCACATGTTGAACGTTCACAAAATGGAGCTCATTGCCATTATTTTTCTGAAAAATTGCACCAGGTTGTTGTGGGATGTTTGTTCGCACTGACACTCGGAGACTGTTTAACCTTGAATCAGGTGGTGGAGTTAGCTACTAACTGGCCAGAATTAACCATAGAGGTTTTGGAGGACCCAGGAAACATATAGAGAGGCACAGGAAGTAGTAGGGAGGGGCTTGGAAAGATTCTCCACCTTTTAGTTGGGGAAGGAAAGAGGAGGTCACTGGTTGCTTCTCTGCCACTTCTCTAATCAATCAGTGTTTACCCCAATATTTGACTCCTGAGTTTTTTATTAGTAATAGGAAATTTTAGATAAACTCATCAGGTTTAGATAAACTCATCACATCCATTTGGTGTGAATTTGGAGAATGAATGAACAGAAGATGCTTTTGTGTAGGAACAGAACTCAACTGTTTCTTATGAATTCAGTAAAAATGTGTTTCTGTGTATTGCATTATGCATTTGATGTGATAGATAGTTATAAGTGGTTTAATTTTATTTACTTCCTCTGTTTCTTTGACCCCTCTTTCCTCTGAAGTAGTTCTTCATATTGCCCAGGCCGTCCTTGAACTCCTGATCCTCCTGCCCCAGCATCCTGACTGCTTGTATTACAGCATAAGCTGCTATGCCTGGATCCTTATTTTCTATTTTAAATCAGGGTTTCACCATACGGTGCTGGCTAGCCCAGATCTCACTCTGTAGCTGAGGTTGTCCTTGAACTCATGATCATTTTGTCTCAGTCTCCCGAGTATTGGAATTATATGTGTGTGCTATTATGCTGGGCTCTACAAGTATTTTCAGGCTGCAATTCCTTCACATTTTGGAAGGTGTGGATTAGAGAAGTTTCTGAGCCCTGGAGTCCTAGCTATAAATTTTGAGTCCTCTTCCTTTCTTGCTGGGTGACTAATAGAAACAAGTGAGATATTGTATGCGATGGCATCACATTTAAAACCAGAAACTGGGAGCTGGAGAGATGGCTCAGTGGTTAAGAGCACTCTTAACCTGGCTTCATAGTCGGGAAGGCCAGAGTTCAGATCTCACAACCACACAAGTCAGGTGTCAGGAAACGCTCTAGCCCCAGCTGTAAGGAGGGTAGAGACAGGAGGATGGCTGGGACTTGCTGGTTTCCAACAACACGAGCTCTAGGTTCATAAGTAGGAGTGGCTTCAAAAGAAACAAGTGGACAGTGTGGAGGACACCTGATGGCCTCTTCAGCAGACACACGGGCTACTATGATACACTCATACACCCTGAATGAATCTTTTGAAAATGCAGACAATAAAGCATAAAGTTAGTAGGACCCTCTTTACGGTAAGATGTCAGGCGGTTTTGACAGCAGTGGGCACGGGAAGGGAAGTACGGGCCCTGAGGTAGAAGACTCCAGGCACCCTTGGCAGGCCCTAAATAATCATTCTGGGTGGTTCCGAGGGAGAGGGCATCAAGGTCCAGGTGAAGATTCTGTTGTGGATATCGGGGTCAGCTGCCCCTGTGGACACAGAGAAAGATGGGCGTGGGGCAGTAGAGGGAGTCCTCACAGGCAGTGTGGGTGGGTGGGTGGGGGAGCCCTGGAGGACAGCGTGGGTGGGTGGGGGAGCCCTGGAGGACAGCGTGGGTGGGTGGGGAGCCCTGGAGGACAGCGTGGGTGGGTGGGGGAGCCCTGGAGGACAGCGTGGGTGAGTGGGGGAGCCCTGGAGGACAGTGTGGGTGAGTGGGGGAGCCCTGGAGGACAGCGTGGGTGGGTGGGGGAGCCCTGGAGGACAGTGTGGGTGAGTGGGGGAGCCCTGGAGGACAGCGTGGGTGAGTGGGGGAGCCCTGGAGGACAGTGTGGGTGGGGGAGCCCTGGAGGACAGCGTGGGTGGGTGGGGGAGCCCTGGAGGACAGCGTGGGTGGGTGGGAAGATTTGGAAGACAGTGTGTGTGGGTGGGTGGGTGGGTGGGCTTGTTTTCTAGCTTCTCTGGCAGTGTGGATTTTAGACATAGGGAGACACTTAATGTCTTTATCTAAAATTTATTTTACAAAGTTACAGGTTTTAAGATTTGTTTTCATATAAAGAAATACTTTAAAGACAGCAAAAGAAAATTTTAATTTACTACATTCAGAATGCCAGTTTCCTGTTTTAAAAATATTGATATTTATTTCCTAATTGTTTACTGAAATTCTCTCTCTGTGTGAGAATGTTTATAAATATATATACCAAATAAATATATATTTATAGATATAAATTCATATATTTATAAATAACAGGGTAATATTAAAAGAGACAAAGAGACAAGCATTTAGAAATTGGAAGTATATTCCTGATAACTGCTATTTCCAAGTTTTAAAATTATAATTTCACAAGTAAAAATAAAGGAAAGAAAAAATCCAAATGTCCTCTAACTGTATGAGTGCATATTGCCTTTTACATTTAATTAAAAAAGAAATGGTGATACTAAAATAAAAAATGTCCTTGTGGCAATAGAAAAATAAAAGAGCAAGATTTATAATTTAGATTCTTCTGAGGAATAGGAAAGTAAAAGTGAACAGTAACGTCTAACGCTATATTGCTCAAAACTAAAAACAAAGTTATTACTCCAAACTTGTCTCGTTTGTAAATTTAATGAACGTGGAAGTGGCGGTAGGCGTTCCTCCTGTGCACGTGGAAACTGCATCCAGTGGCTCCATGTGTAAGGCCGGTTCTTCCTTTCCCTTCTGGACAGGTCCAAGACCACCCTGCGCCGCAGCTGGAGCAGCAGCACCACGGCAGGCGGCCTTGAGGGGACCGCGAAGCTGCACGAGGGCTCCCAGGTCCTGCTCACCAGCTCTAACGAAATGGCGACCGTCAGGTACGTGGGTCCCACGGACTTTGCCTCCGGCATCTGGCTTGGACTGGAGCTCCGAAGTGCCAAGGGAAAAAATGACGGTGCCGTGGGTGACAAGCGCTATTTCACCTGCAAGCCATACCATGGAGTGCTGGTTAGACCAAGCAGAGTGACCTACCGAGGGATCAGTGGGTCAAAGCTCGTTGATGAGAGTTGCTGAGTTAAACGACTAAGGCATTAAATGAGCTCCTCTGAGTATGCGTGTGTGCCAGATGTAGAGTGGGGTCTATGGCAGAGGGTTTATTTTATTTAGATACTAGGTAAAAGCTGAAAGTACAGTAATCTTAATTAAAAAAAAAACTCCAAAAGGAACACACATATGAACTTTGAGGGTCATAGTTCTTTTGAAAATTTCAAAATAAGCACTTTTAAAACCTAGGTCCTGAGTCAGGCATTGGTGGCGCACGCCTTTAGTTCCAGCACTCGGGAGGTAGAGGCAGGCGGATCTCTGTGAGTTCCAGGACAGCCTCCAAAACAATACAGAGAAACCCTGTCTCAAAAACCAGCCAAGCAAACAAAGAAAGAATGTGCTATTAAGTTATGTGTGATGGTTACTTGCCATTTGACTTAATTTTTGCACATGGTGTTCTGGTCTTCACAGAGGTGAAAGTTTTTACCATCTTCATAATGCTCATGTGATCTGTTACCTGTCCAAGTGTTCTGGAATGTTCCTTTCTGTCTGTGGTTGTTACTAAAAGTACCTAGAGAGCAGTGGCTGCCTAACTTGTGTTTTATGTTTGGTAAACTCACAGGCCCCTGTGAGCAGTTAGAACTCGGGGGAAAGGTGGGCTTTGGCAGTGTCTGCCCCCCCCTTACACCCATTGCCAACCACAGAGATGGAATTCCTTCCCAGAACAACTCACTAGTCGGTTAACAGAGTTGAGAGTGAGCGCGGGTCTCCTGACTCAACGCATGCTTTGCACGCAGTATGCCCTCAGGTTTCCCCTCTGTGCTGGACTGCCCCATCCGTATGCACCACCAGAGGCTTGCAGTTAAGTTTATGAACTCAAGGCAGAGGTATTTGCACACTTATTTAATGTTGTATGTTCCTGGCACACTAACAGCACTTTGAAACATGATGCACTTTTCTTCTTTTTATTTTTTTATATTTTTGGGACTTTGCCACCATTTCCTCCTGGGATATGAACAACCTTTAAGAAGTATTTCGCAGAAGAAAGTAAATTGAAATGTGTTAGGCAGGGTGTGTTACCTGTTTGGATGTTCATGGTGTCTGGGCTTGGGGTGGGCGGGGGTTTAGCTGTAGCTGCTACACAGCTACAGAACTGTGCTGAGGAACTCATTGTCTTGGGCACTTGTTAAACTAAGCTTTACCATAGTGATGGAATAATGTCACACATTCGTCTTGTGGATAGGTATTGAAATTTCTGTCCTGTTATGTGTAAAAATTCATTCTCTGTTGTAAATATTTAGACTTGAAATTATCACACAAATTATTGGAACAGTTTGCTTTCTGAAATTAGAAGTATATCCTTCAGGATGGAGCTTTCTTTATGCTTAGAAATATACTCTGCTGAACTGTTTTGCAATATGCTGTCTTAAAAATCTAAATCTGGTCACTTGGTTGCCTTTTTGTTTTTTTAAGTGTGGTATTTCAAATAGAGTTATTTTCCTGAAATATATTTGCGAACTCAAGCTGCTTTATAATCAAGGAATATTTTTATTGATTGAAGAAAATGACTGCTGCAATTCAAAAGTGAACTTATTTTATTATATAGATGATTTCTTAAAATCTATTTATACCATAATATAAAATCCACGACTATAGTGAGCCTGGGGATCTGTAATTCTTCCTGTTAAATACTAAACACTGTATGTTAGAGACAGCAATGCCAACACTGAACTTATTTTTGAGGTCAAAAACCAGTTCTCTTCATATTTAATTAAATCCTCATAGTGTATATGCTTATGTATGCTACATGTGCAGGTTAGGTGGGGTTTTTGTGTGTGTGTTTTGCCTATTAAATTTCATTCAGATTCACTTCTTGAATCCTAATAAAAAGGGAAGATGCTGGACCGGTGTTGTGTCATTACTCTATCTGCAACTCTCCTCAGTGTTTTGGGGTCTGTGTGCTCTGAGCTCTACCTCCATCATAATGACTAACGTTTGCCCTATCCTTGTAATAAAGAGTCTTAAAGGTCTTTAATGTATTACTTTATTTCTTCTTTGAGATTGCCATGCATGTATGCAATGTATTTTGATCATAGCTATCCAATCCCCACTTGCAGTTCCTCTCAGAGGCTCCTCACCATGTCCCTCTCACCACCTTTCCCTTCCCTCCCTCCCTCCCCCTCCCTCCCTCCCTCCCTCCCTCCCTCCCTCCCTCCCTCCCTCCCCCTCCCTCCCCCTCCCTCCCTCCCTCCCTCCCTTCATCTATTTATTTTGAACAACTCACTAATTGTTAGCACTGCCCCTCTATATGTGCATGGGTGTAGGGCCATTTACTAGAACATGGGCAACCTCCCAAGAGCCACCCTCTTAAAAAAACTGATTCTTCCCCCCCAGGCAGCCTTCAACTGCCGGTATTTCCTCCCTTCCTCACCCATGCTGGCTCGATGTTCTACAGGCAACCGCAGCTGATGTGAGCTCATGAGCACATTGCTTCCGTCATGCCCTGAAGTTTCATCCTTTTTACTCACCAAGGAAATAATGTGATTTTAGCCACCCTTCTTTAGCATCCTCGAGGAGTTACTCAAGAGTGTGATTCTACAGTTTGATAAAGTTGCTTTCCTCTCCTTCATTTGGCTGTAGTTTATTGGTTTTCCCAGAGCAGGATGGAACAATTTGAGTTTTGGTTAAAAAGCTCTACCCTTCCCCCCCCCCATTTAGAATGCTGTGTTATATTTCAGAGTAATTAGGGGAGAGGTGATTTTAAGTGTTCAAAAATGTTCTAATTCAAGTGATTCCTTTACGAGCGAAACCGGGTTGAGACAGTAGAATCTTGGTGGGAATTCTCTACCCTCCTCCCCAGAGTGCCATCATGTTTCCCAGCCCCCGCTTCTCATGTCCCCTACCTGTCATGCGCCCCACATGTTCTTGCCCCATGTTGCTTCACTTTTCTCCAAAGCCATGACCAATATTATGCTCTTTTCTCGTGTCCTGCACTGGATGGAGGCTGGATTCTGATTGCTCTGTTCATCACGTTATCCTCACACCTAGACCAATCCTCGGCACCTGCCTGCTGTTCATCAATGCGTAGAGAACAAGCAGGCCCTGAAGGCATTGATGACTTAAGTACCTAGTGTCAGAGAGGTGACACTGAGAGAGGTCAGGGGACAGGTTCATTCTACTAGATACACGAGGGAAGAGGACAAGAGGTTCATTTGTAGCATCCCAGCTCTGCCCCATGTCGAAGTTACCTTTTCGTTACTGTGATAACACACCATGACCATGCCAACTTACAGAAGGAAGAGTGTATTTGGGCATATGGCTCCAGAAGTCACCAATTGATGGGGGAAAGTCCTTCTGTGTATATGTTTGTCTTATTGGTTGATAGATAAAGCACTGTTGGCCAATAGGGAAGCAAGATAGGTGGGACTAGGAGCTGAGGAGGATTCTGGGAAAGAGAAACACAGGAAGTCACGATGTAACCTCCAGAGGAGTAAAAGGTCTGGACCCTTTCTCTGGTAAGAGAAGGGGTAAATACTTAAGTCAGAGATAGCCAGTAAGAAACAGCCAACAGCTTCATAATTTATATAGCCTCCTGTGTGTTCATTTGGGACTGATGCAGCTCTGGAACCAGGCTGGCGGGAAGACTTCACTCTACACACTTCTAATGAGGTGGAACTTCCTAAACCTCTCCAAATAATGCCACCATCTGGGGGCCACTTGTTCAAACACACAAGCCTAAGGGGGACAATCTCACTCAAAACACAACACCCTGGAAGAGAGAGAAGGAAGAGATAAGATGCTAATGGAGAGAAAAGGAAGGGAAGAAGACAGACAGGGTCACCAAGACAGCTCCCTGTCTGTGGTGTGACCATGACTTGGATCACAGTCCTATGTGGCTCTCATGGAGAGAGCTAACTGTACCCTGTGAAAGTGTACACCACGTTGGTGTCTAGTACTAAATAGTTTCATTTTAGAGCTTGAGTATGAGGGTGTTTAGAATTTGTGCTAATAATAATTAAATTTTATTGATCAATGGCTAGAAACATATTAGAATCGTTTTAATCAGGGAACATTGTTGAGTAATTTTAACTATTGGCTAGGTATTTGTTATCTAAATGATTGACACAGAGACATACAATATATATCACAACATTGCAAGCTAGTAGGAAAATTTATGAATAAATTATGCCCTTTACTTCACTATATTTTGCTTATAATACAAGTACACTTGTTAATAAAAACTCATTGTCACTTGTGGTTTTAATTAAGGTCCTTGGGCATTCCAGTCCTCATCTACCATGTAAAAAGCTTGATTACACCAAAGACATTTCTAATGAGGCTCATGATTGGTCGACCAAGCTATACTTATAGGATGTGTTAAGATTCCATTACAGTGTGGTATGATGCATTAACCTAGGCCAAAAAAAAAGATTTTTTTGTTTCTATTAAAATTTTTGTGAATGCTGTGTACCAGAGGGAGAAAAGTGTATATGGGGAGATTAAAGTAGATGGACCTGTATTTCTGCCATTAATGTGACTTTTTTCCCACTTTTTAAAAATTTAAATTAGAAACAAGATTGCTTCATATGTCAATCCCAGCTCCCTCTTCCTCTCCTCCTTGGGGGGATCTCCAAAGTCTGTCATTTCATCCAGGGCAGGACCTAGACCCTTCCCCATGTGTCCAGGCTGAGAGAGCATTCCTCTATTTGGAATGGACTCCCAATGATCATTCATAAACCATGATAAACACTGATCTACTACTCAAGACCCCAGTGATTTCTGTGGCCTCCTCACTGAGACTACATTCATGGAGTCTTGATCAGTCCCCTGTTGGCCTCTCAGGCATCAGTCTGTGCACCCCACTTTTAATTGGATTATTTGGTGTTTTGGAGACTAGCTTCTTGAGTTCTTTATAAATTTTGGAGATCAGCCCTCTGTCAGATGTGGGGTTAGTGAATAACTTTTCCCATTCTATGTATTGCTGTTTTGTCTTGTTGACTATGTCCTTTACCTTAGAAGCTTCTCAGTTTTGGGGGGGTCCCATTTATTAATTGTTGGTTTCAGTGTCTGTGCTACTGGCGTTATATTCAGGAAGCAGTCTCCTATACCAGTTCATTGAAGGGTACCTCCCATTTTCTCTTCTAAGAGGTTTAGTGTGACTGGATTTATGTTGAGTTCTTTAATCCATTTGGACTTAAGTTTTGTGCATGGTGATAGACATGGATCTATCTGCAGTCTTCTACATGTCAGCATCCAGTTATGCCAGCACCATTTGTTGAAGATGCTTTCTTTTTTCCATTGTATAGTTTTAGCTTCTTTGTCAAAGATCAGGTGTTCATAGGTGTGTGCGTTAATATCAGAGTCTCCAATTCCATTTCATTGGTCTACCTGTCTATTTTTGTGCCAATACCAAGCTGTTTTCATTACTATAGCTCTGTAATAGAGCTTGAAGTCAGGGATGGTAATGCCTCCTGAAGTTCTTTTAATGTACAGGGTTGTTTTGGCTATCCTGGGTCTTTTGTTTTTCCATATAGAGTTGAAAATTGTCCTTTAAGGTCTGTGAAGAATTGTGCTGGAATTTTGATAGGGATTGCATTGAATCTGTAGATTGCTTTTGGCAAGATTGCCATTTTTATTTACTATGTTGATCCTACCTATCCAAGAGCATGTGAGATCTTTCCATTTTTAGTATCTTCTTTAATTTCTTTCTTTAAAGACTCAAAGTTCTTGTCAGACAGGTCTTTCACTTGTTTGGTTAGAGTTACCCCAAGATGTTTTAGGTTGTTTGTGGCTATTGTATTTTTTTTTATTTTAGTTTTTCGAGACAGGGTTTCTCTGTGTAGCCCTGGCTGTCCTGGAACTCACTCTGTGGGTCAGCATGGCCTCAAACTCACAAAGATCCACCTCCGTCTGCCTTCCGACTGCTGGGATTAAAGGCATGAACCACGACTGTCCAGCATGTTTGTGGCTATTGTAAAGGGTGATGTTTCTCTGATTTCTTTCTCAGCACATTTATTGTCTATATATAGTAGGGCTACTGATTTTTTTACTTAATATTGTATCCTGCCACTTTGCTGAAGGTGTTTATCAGCTGTAGGAGTTCCCTGGTAGGATTCTTTGGGTCAATTACATAGGCAAATAGAGAAAGTTTGGCTTCTTCCTTTCCAATTTGTATCCTCTTGATCTCCTTTGTCCTCTTATTGCTCTAGCAAGAACTTCAAGTATAATATTGATGAGATACTGAGAGAGTGGACAATCTTGTCTTGTTCCTGATTTTAGAGGAATTGTCGTGAGTTTCTCTCCAGTTAGTTTGATGTTGGCTGTGGATTTGCTGTGTATTGCCTTTATTATGTTTAGGTATGTTCCTGTTATCCCTGTCCTCTCCAAAACCTTTATCATGAAGGGGTGTTGGATGTTGTAAAAGGCTTTTCAGCATCTAGTGAGATGATCATGTGTTTTTTTCTTTTTCAGATTGTTTATATGTTGGATTACATTGATGGATTTTTGTATGTTAAGCCATTCCTGTCTCTGGAATGAAGCCTACTGGATCATGGTGTATAATTTTTCTGATGTGTTCTTGGATTCGATTTGCCAGTATTTTATTGAGTATTTTTGCATCAATGTTCAAGAGGGAGATTGATCTGTAGTTTTTATCTTAGTTGTGTCTTTGTGTGGTTCGGGTACTAAGGTAATTGTGGCCTTGCAAAAAGAGTTTGGCAGTGATCCTTCTGCTTTTATTATGTGGAATAATTTGAGCAGTATTGGTATTAGCTCTTCTTTGAATTTCTGGAGGAATTCTGCATTGAAACCATCTGGTCCTGAACTTTTTTTTGGTTGGAAGACTTCTGATGGTTGCTTCTATTTCATTAGGGGTTATAGGTCAATTTAAATTGTTTATCTGGTT